AGGAGGGAGTCCATTTATCAGCGGGCCCTCAGCGGTCGCCTGCTCGGGTCCCTCAAGTCACAGGCCGCGACGCTCCCCTTTTGACTGATTAATTAGCCAATCACAGGACATTTTTCACCAGCAGCAGGAGGGTTTATTTCAGCTAATGCTGGGGCCTCGCAAACCGAGCCACGTTCAAGCAAACTCTGCTCTTTCCTTTGGGCCTGCCGGAGTGGAGGGGGCTACGGAGGGGCCGAGGGAGATAAATCACACCCACTCCTCATGACTCCGTACACACTAGCCTACAGCCTAACTAAGGCCCCCGAGAAGAGAACCAGCCAACGGCAGAGAAAGGGATGGGGAGGGAACGAAATAAGAGACACATCAAGAATAAATACTGAAAGCTAAAAATACAAAAAGAAATGTGATCAAGTAAAGACAACGGTTTTGAGAAAGGCACAAAAGCGAAAATGCCAAAAGCACTAGTCATGAACATTGCTCTCCCTGCCACTAAGACTTTCCCACATCATTCAGAGTAAAAGGCAGTGATGGACGGCAGCGCGCATCCAGACAGCGGTCTGTTCGGACACTGTCGGCTCTCCAACGTGCTCGTGACGGCCATCCGTTATAGCAGTGGTTCTCAACCAGGACGCCACAGCAAATTTTCCAAGGGTGGGTTTGAATTATGTTAGATTTAAGATAAGTTAAACAGCAAAAAAATTAGGATGCAAGCTGGGCATTATGATTCCTATGTTAATTAATTTCTTAAACAACTGTTTATTTATTCCTTTTTAATTATGAACAAGGATTTCCATTGTCTTGGAAAAACCTGGATATAGGAGGACATTTTAAAAGTGTAGAAAAATCATGGAAATTTTTAAAACACAAATTTTGATAATTACGTCAAGGTGTGAAAATTATTGAGTAACAATTGCTATTTGAGGTAAAAAAAAAAAATAATTAAAAAAAAATCAGAAAAGTTTATATTCATTGAAAAAAAAAAAATTCAGCTATTGTAATTCCTGTATTTATGAAATTAATTAATTTATAATTATTTAATTTTATATTGCCACTCCTGGTTTCCATAAACGGGGGTGGGGGGGCAACAATCTGTCAAAGTGTGTTTATGCAAACAAAAAAAGTGGGCAACTGGATTTTGGCAGAAATATGGAGAGCAATTTGGTTGCAGTTTCTTAAATCAAGGTAGTGAGATCAGGGGCGACTTGGACCGACCTCCCATGTGTGTGTCAGAGAACACTGTGACAAGAGATAAGGGACTGACAGGAAGCTCTGAGAGAGGGGAGGAAAACCCCTGGTGCAAGAGGTTGGAGAGAGAGGGCTGCCAAGACACCGCAGCAGTGAGATCAGACCTTTGCATGGACACTAACTGAGTGGTGCACTTAAAACCTGCAAGGTGACACCTCTCGGTCACAAAAACTGTATTAAACAGGTTTATAAATCACCTTCCCGTCCAACTGTGAACCCAGGATTTATCTATGAACTGAGGTAAAAAAATCTTCCACAGGCTGTATCACCGCACAAGCACACAATGCACACAAACAACGCCCACTCATTGGCTTCCTATGCAGGCCTAACTGCCCCTCGTTTACAGGGCTCGCCACCAGCCCTTCGCCACACGGCCTCCTGGGATGCCATTGTGAGCCTGTTCAGATTGGTTTTCAATCCGGTCAATGAAGTCCCTCCAGACTAGGACAATAACAAACTGCAACAAAACGATTAGCGAAATAAAAAATATAGCACACTGCCGGCACTTCCAAAATTCAAGCAAAGCATGAGCGGCTGCTATTGTGTTGCTTTCTCAGTAAAGAGGCAGTTCGGCGGGGGCTTCAGACCTGCAGCACATACATTAGGTGTACTTGGAATTGCTAGGTCACAAACACAAAGGTGAAAAAAATGTAAAAAGACAACCAAGTTGGAAAGGTTACAAAAAATAATAAAAAAAGATTTAATGTAAAAACCCTCACCTGACAGATATAAAAGTCAAGTCAAATATATTTATATAGCGCTTTTCACAATACAGATTGTATCAAAGCTGCTTCACAGCATCAATCAAAACAACTTAAACGGTGTTTGTTTATTACTGGACTTGACTTGATATAAAAGATATAAAACCGCTTCATTTACTAAATATTGTTTTTCCAATAACCAATATATTACTAAAAAGGTACAATATTACATTAAAAAAAGTCAAAATGACCTCTGTTCAGACTCCCTCATTTCATCCATTCAGTTTCAACCCACAAGTATGTTGCAAGAATGTGTAATTCCATACACAACTGACACTTAGCAACTAGATCACTAAAAACTAAACAAAACAACGTAACCAACTCTTTATGAAAGACATTAATAATTTGAGCAATTACCTGTTTGATCAGTTTGTTACACTGAGGAATGAATTTACTTACACTTCCTTCAAGGCAACACTGTTTTTCCTTCTCGATCTCAATTAATTCAACTTTTTTTTACAGTGTAGAAAGATTACAAAGTACAAACAACTTGGATGATTCATTAATTTCACCTTAAATTATATGAAACTGACTTTAAAAAGAGCAGTTGAATCTTGTATAACTTAGAAAAATAAGCAATTTTCAACTTTTTTTAATGTCATAACGTACTGATCATTTTCAATTTGTGCACTTAAGATGTTTAAGATTAAATTGCATTTCAAAATCTCCAATAAACATTGTTATAATTTGTTTAATTAAAAAAGGGCAAATTAACCATCATCATTTATTCGCATTCTGAATTGTGGTATGAGAAAACACCAAAATAACCAACCGTTTTATATTGTGTGCGAGTCAACATTTAACACAACCCTGTCTTTGCACGCCAGCCAGAAATCGAGACACGTGCCGAGTGTCATGACCACTGCAAAGCTGCTCTGATGCGACATTTCATTTACGAGCCAAAGCCTAAAACCTAAGATTACCTAAAACAATTCTTCTGCTGCCTTGCAAGCACTGTTGTTTCTTTGTGGAAATACAAATCCCACTAAGAACTAAAATCACAAATAAATCCAGTACAGTATTTACATCACAACAAAAATGAGCAAGGGACGTGTCCACTAGCAAAAATAATCATAGAAATAATTACAATTCCAAATTTAAGGTGGACTTCCAAAAGAAATACAAACACAAAAAGGGCTGGTAAAGCCACCTTCAAACTGAATCCAAACTATTAGAGCCGTGTAAGCCAAAAAGTCTACTAAATAATCCCTTCAACCAAACTTCGTCGAACCAAGTTTCGAGGGTTTGAAAGGATCATCAGTAATTCTGTTTTTTACTTCCATCACTGCCTCCTGTACCTGGGAGATGATGGGGAAATGCAGTTTGATCGTGCCCACCAGCACATCATCAGAAATACACCACCTGTGATTTGACCACAGAGATGGCTGACAGGACTATGAGGTGAAAAGGAGAGAGCGGGTGCAAATCCTTTAAGGGGATTTCAGCGGGATCCCTGCCTACAGTGACTTGCGTGTGGAGTCAGACTACATACTATGACACGGCTCATTATCAGCCTGAAGTCACGTGAATGTAGAGGTCAGCGGTACTTACAGGTGGGCTGGACCGTAAGGTGACATGAAACCTGCTGCAATACCTTTGCCACATCTCAATATTATTCTTGTGTTTTATGTAACAATTCAAAAGTCGGCTCAACATATACACACAATATAGTAACTAAATAAATAGTAACCTTGTATTCTTTCTATTTTTATGCCCGCTAGAGACATCCTATAAGATCCTTACAAATCACACTGTGTATGGATCTAATAAAGTAGGGTACGACATGTATGTAGACTACGATAATGACACCAATTGAATCATAGGTTACAATGAAAGTTAGAACAGAAGAATAAAATATCATCCGCATGCACTAGTGGTAAAAAAAAAAAGATACAAATATAGAGATGAATCGCACTTCGGCAATTACATTCACTGAAAAAAGACGAGGAAGCGAAAGAGGAGAATATGGATGGGGTCATGGCTAGGGAAAAGAGACCAACTCGGCATGCCAATTTTGCAAATTGAGCTTGGGGTAAGTAGTTTTTAAGTTTTAGCAAGTTTTCATGTAGCAATTTTTGTTGGCTAGTCAGTAGATTACTAACAGAAAACACACTGTGAGAGGATCATTCTATATTTCAGACACTGTCAGGAAATTATTGCAGGCTATCTTTGGTCACAAGACAGTGACAATGGCCATCTTTGAACCTCTCTCACTGTACAACATAGGACAAGCATTTAGGAGCCAGGACCGCAAAAAAACACCACGGATGGTCATCTTTATTCTGGGACAGCCTAAAATCGTACTATGTGTACCAGACATTAAGTTACGGTGAGGCACTTACCATGAAATTGAATGGGGCCATTTTTTTTTACAAAACACTGTGTCCTAACTACACGCGACGCGATGAAATTCCAGCGACAGCAAGTGTGTCTGTCCACACTAGACGCAATCCAACTGTGAGACGCCACACGTCAATCAAAAATTGCAGCCATTCAGAACAGCGTGTGGGCGGAGTCTCTCTGTGAAAGAACATTGTTGGTCCGCACTTGCATTGGAAATGGGTAAGGACATAATCAAATCAAGAAATAACATTATTAAAAATCAAAACATTAACAAAATATACTCATTGACTAATTCCGTTATGAAGTACAGTTGTATGTTTCCATAGAATTAATTTTGAACGCTATATAACATGCTTTCAAAATCCGAGGTAAATTATCCGTTATCGCTTGTGGCAAAGTGACCTAATCCCTTTGAACTTCGATAATCAGTTCCTCGTCGTCCATGTTTGATGATTAAATATTCATGACACGCAGAACTTCCATCCAATGAGATCTCAGAGTGTGGGCGGATCTGTCAGTCGCGACGTCGCAGAAATAGGAACAGTTTCAAAATTAGAAACTTTGCGTGTCGTCGTCTGGTTAGAACAACTCTGATTAACATGGAAAAGACACTTTTTATCGTGTGACGCAGTGTGTAAGTCAACTGCTTACCTCATCTCTGTCTCTTGTTTCTTGTTTCGATCGCTTCCCAAAAATACAAGCCAGGTCTGTTTTGCTGCGACTGGACAGGTCCTTTCCTGTGAGAAAAGGTTAAAAACATGAAGACTTTTTATAGATCTTTGACATTATTCCACACAATAGAGCATGCGTGTAAACATTTAGAGTTCTATTTTATTGTGAGGGCGGTGTTCATTTCAACCTGAACTTCTGTCAAACTATCACCCGGCACCAAATACATTTTAAAAAGACATTATCGATCGTTACTTTCCGATTTAGAAAGAGAAACGTGTTAATGCATTTCACAAACGTCTGGAGAGATGAAAAGGAAAGGTTTCCGGTCGCAACTTGTTGACAAATGGGTATTTTTCTAGTGCCGTTCAACTGCGTAAACTATTGATTTAAATGGATAAGGGTCACAGGACAGTTTTGAACTCCTGCCGAGAGGAAAGGTTTAGAGGTAAAAAAGGGCACGTTGCATGGTCGCAGGGGATGAAACGGCTGAGGAAAAACAAACGGTGCAGGACCGGCCCCACCTCACACCTCCCGTTTTCCAGCAGCTCAAAGGCTCCAGGAGTGCCTGGGCGCCCGTCTCAGCCGCGAGTCCTGTTCGTACAGCTGCATCCTTTTCCTCCAAGCAGCTCCTGATAACACTCGCTTATTTATTGCTCTAGGGTCTTTTTCAGCATGGTTTTCAAAGGGGAGACCTTGCCTTCAAGTAACCAAGGTATCCTGTAAGCAGTCTAAACAAAAGACCAGGCCGAACAAGCTGTCCACTGATCACAGTGGACATCAAGTGGAGCCCAAAAATGACCTTTTTACTTTTGGAAATGAGATCTATCAACTAACAAAGGTTAGTTTTGGGTGTAACTACAAGTGCCACAGAAAACCTTTAAAGGATTAACGCAAGCAAAAATTAACATTTGAACCATGTACTGTGAAAGTACATGTGAAGTTTTAATGTGAAAGTCTAAGGCCGAGTGTCCACCGAAGCATTTTTAGCCAGCTGAAAAGGCCAGACGCTCTGCTGAAGACGCTGTGCTTTGGGCGCTTGAGAGCGCTTTGGCAGCCCAGCGTTTTTTTTCCGTTGAGACGTTTATAATTCATAATACTGAATATACTATACGCTATATTACAGAATATCCGCAGCACAGTTTACTTGTAACTGATTTCGCAGATAATTTGTTTCATACTAAAAAAATAATTTTTCATCCATTTTGTTTGGTTAGCTCTGCTGGTTGATGTCGTTGTACAGAAAGACTGTTGTGACAGCCATTGAAAACATACGCCAGGCTCATGGAAAAACACTTGGTGGACACACAGCCTAAGTTGCATTATATACATTAGGCTAGTACATCCCAGTACAATGAAATTTAGCACTATTTCGATGGAAATTTAACTCGCGATGTTTTAAAGCAAGCCTAGTTGATAATCCATTTTTGGGATTCAGCCGACTGTAACCAGTAGGTGTGGTTTGGGAGTGCCCTCGTAAGGGCAGCAAAGCAAGTGCATTCTGGGAGTTGTCGTCTTTCAGCCACATGAGTAAAAAATACATTCTGCCTTTTCTCAGTCTAGAATGCTTTAATTTAAAAAAATAATTTCACATTTCTACTATGTAAATGACCAATATTAAATACACATTAGAGCCAGGCCGATATTATCGGCCGATATTAGGCATTTTCCAAACTATCGGTATCGGCAGTTATAATGGCCGATAAATGAATATTTAAAAAATAAAATAAAAACGGACGAAACACGCTTGAACCGTGTCATGAGTGTTGGAGTTGTATAGTTTGTCCACCAGAGGGCACTCTACACCATCCCTGTTGGCAACAAGCGTTGAGTTGGTCACGATACACACATTGCTTGAATAACAATTAAAAGAACATCCCCATCAGTTCTCTTAGCTCAAATAAGCATGATAAAATTTGTGACTATCATGTCCAGTTTTGCTGCTGTTAAATAAGCCGAGAGTGAAGCAGAATTAGCTAGTAATAGTTACGTTATATTGTTACCTAGTTGACTGACTGTCCTTTTAACTTTTGACAATGTGACTGAAGTATTTCTTTAATAAAGCGTGACAGTTAGTAATGAGACGCATCATCTCTCCTTGGTCTGTTATATTGAAAATATTGCTAAACCATTGCTAAATTATGGCTCATCATAGAGTAGCTAACCACAAAGCTAGCTAATGCCACTATCATCAGTCTGTTCTGTTTATTTTAAAAACAAGTTTCTTTTTAAAATGCATTATCCTATTATTTAAGTTAAAACTCATAAATAACTACAAATAACTAATGGTAGGGAAATTTGTTAATGTTTTGTTGCAAGTTTCTGAAAAAAAAAAAAAAAAAAAAAAAAAAATTCGGCCGATATATAGGAATATCGGATTTTATAACCAAAAAATATTTGTATCGTATCGGCCTTCAAAAATCTTTATCGGTCAGGCTCTAATACACATTCATCTTCCCAGAGGTGAAGTATCCCTTTAAATCACAGACAGAGACCCATAAGGCAATCACTGTGGTCATAGTTAGTTAGTGTGTTTGACAAAGAGGTCAACCCCGCCTTTTCGTTAAGCACAAGAGGAACCTCTCTGTTCCTTAGGAAAAGTTGGTCTCAACATCTTTGTGAATGTCTAATGAGGAAACTCTTAGTGGTAAGATACAATGTTTTGTGAATACGGGCCCAGATCCTATATTCTGTGATTAACGATAAAAATTGTAGTTTTGAATTCACGTCGCTGTAAAATACTTCACAAACTGTATGGTGCACTTTGTGTCACTTTTTGTCTTTTTAGAGATTGGCAGCCCCAGTAATCATTTTCTGTGAATATATTGAAAGCAGTATAACATAAAACTACATTTATGCTTTAAAGTGTCAGAAAGCCATTGATTAAGAAGTGCACATGAGGATATGAAATCCTGTTTGGATCAAGGTCACTGTTGAGATGGTAACGAGTGTGAAGGAACTCTGGCCAAACCAGATTAGCAATCACAGAGGCTTTTTTGGATCAACTTGCTAATCTGACAAGCAAAATACTAATTGACTGCCTCAAAAGACACCTACATAAGTTCTAAGCTTGTCAAATGCAAATAAATGAACAAAGACACAGGCTTTTCTGGAACAGGAAGGTGACAAAAAAATAGATCAATGGGGGTTATTTTACCTGCTTGAGCAGGAAATAGTAAAGATGAAAATATTATATGCAATGGTTTGTTTCTCAAAAGAAATCGGGTTAATTATTAATAAAGGGGTCCCAAATTGTTCCGTTCATCTGTGTAACAGCTTGACCCACTCAGATGATGAAGTGCATGCAGTTCAGCTCACATCAAGAAATTCTGGATCAGTTGATAAATGGGCAGCCAATTAAATCTGGGTTACTGGTTTACGCTGCTTGTGTCTGAGATGGGCGCTGGAGACGCTGGTGCCTTTCTCCTGGTCTGAAAGCCATCAATCTTTGAAACAAGCTACCTCCATCCTGTCTAGAGTGGGGCTCAGTTTGCTTCCATTCTTAAGGATCAGTCCAAAATCAGTATATGCAGTTGAACCATCATTTCACACTGCACATTCATGACAAAAGATCCTCGGCAAGAAGATGCTCAACACCAAGAGACCTCTATACTACATTAAAGGTTACTAATAATATTACAGTCAAACATTTGGACAATTTCATTCTTTATTAGTTGTTTTTATAATAGTTAAGTAATCTACAGTAGTCAACATCTGAAGTGGATCAAAAGAGCTCAAAGTTGTCCTAAGGAAAAAATAAAATTCATTTATAAGGTTTCGATCCACTTCAAATGTTGACTACTGTAAATTATGACTTAAAACTATTGGGATTATTTATTTGATCAAAGGTGACAGTAAAAATGTATAATGCTACAAAAGATATCTATTGATTCAAATAAATGTACTTTTGAACTTCCTATTCATCAAATAACCCTGAAAAAAATGTAACATCGTTTCCATAAAAATATGTTTTCCGTTTTTAAAATTGTTAAAATGTTAATTGAGCATCAAATCAGCTTATTTGAATGATTTCTGAAGGATCATATGACACTGAAGACTGAAGTAATGATGCTGATAATTCAGCTTTGCCTTCACCGGAATAACATTAAGATGTATTCAAACAGAAAACAGTTTGTAATTATGATTTTAAATTGTAAAATTGTATGACTTTAGGGTTTGTTTAGGGTCTAAATGAAAACTTTGTAATCTACTTTTATTAAAAATTCCCATTAGTATTTTAAGAAAACACCATTTTACCTGTTCAAAATCAGATTTGTTTTCAGCAAGCCGTTTCAGTGCATATGCCTTTAAATAATAAACCCCGCCCCTCTGTTCTGTAGGCGTGAACGCACTTGGAGTGTTGCCTTGACAACAGTTGAAGGTTTTGGAGAGAGAATGGCAGCGGCCCAGGAGTCTCTTACCCCTTTTCCACCAAAAAAAGAACTGGTTCGGAACTGGTGCTGGTTCAAAGTTGGTTCGGAGTTGGTTCAACTTGCGAACCGCTTCAGAACCTGTTTGTTTTTCCACTGACTAGAGCGCTTTAAGCGTTTTTTAATCTTTTCCTTTGATATGTAATCTTTTCTTATAAGTTATGTACCCCTGTCTTGTGTCTTTTTTCTTTCCATTTATTTTGTTCTATATTGTTTTATTTTTTGCTTATAATGTCTTCAATAAAAAAAATTACAAAAATAGAAACGCTTGCGCCAACTTCAAGCATAACAATTACAAAGGCGGACTCCATCGTGTTTCTGCAAATGTTTCTCCTGGATTTGCGATCCTTTATTATGGTCAGAAAAGATGTTTAGAACACATCTAAACCCGTCCCAGCCCCCGACGTAAGCATGACGTGTTAAAAGAACGGTTCTACTCCAGCAAAGAGTTGGTGCCGCTTTGGAACCAGTTCTCCTGGCCAAAAACCGGTTCTTTGGCTGTCGAAACACAAAGAACTGGTTCGCGCGCAGGCACCGGCTCCGAACCGGCTCTCAAAATGCTTTGGTGGAAAAGGGGCTTTTGAGGACACATCTGTGCAACTGTATCAGTTTGAACCGGAGTCGCACCGGAACAAGATGACGGCCGCAAAAAGTTCGACAATTAAGGCTCGATGACGTTTCTGAATGGTTGGTTAATGTAATGTTACTTTGATCTATCTTTGTATGCACTGGCAGAGTAGAGTGAGATATGAACACTGTGTTTACTGATGTATACGTTAGTTCATTGACAGATTGACGTTTCAACTAATGGTCATGAAAAACTTTTTTCCCATGATTTGCAAAGATTAATATAACTTTAGGTGCAGAGGGAACATAAATAGTTGGTACCGATTCTTTTTTTAGGAGCAGCTTCTTAGCAAAACCAGCTTTATACTGATCCTCGTTTATAAAGCAGTCGGGTGAGAAATAATTCGCGCAAACAAGAAAGTATTAACGTTGATCGTGGGGAATATTCCCTACGTAAACAAAACTCAGCCACTGCGAATTTGGTGGTTCAAATTTAGGAACATCAGAATGATTTCTGTGTTTGTTATTGCACCCAAGAACAGAACAACACAATCGTTTAGATGCCGTTCTGCTCCTGTAAATCAACAATGACGGACTAAGTCTATGATGACAGCTCGCTCATGGCGGGTCTGTGTTGAAACACATATATATATATATATATATATATATATATATATATATATATATACACACATACACACTTATACATACAGTTTATATACATACAGTATACACACACACACACATATATATATATATATATATATATATATATACACAGAGTAACATATGTTTAAACATTAGATAGAACAAGTTTATCTCTGTTAAATCCATTAAAGGCCTTAACCTGGCAATGGCTTTTTGGGGGCGTACCCAGGAAACGTACAAAAGGAGAGGTCTTCTGTGGGTTACAGATCAACCAATATCAGTAAAAGGTGATCCAATCAACAAAGCCTCCACAGGGGACATGGGCGGAACCCGACGCGCTGGCACAACGACAATTGCCATGACAACAAACCACAAATCCATTAGCAGTTGTAACAACCAGTGTCACGTTTGTCATTTCAAAGACGGTTAGACGTCTTAGTTCAACTTTCAGACACAGCAACTTGAATCTCAAACAGACTGTTACGGATCAAATTACTGACATCACACCTTCAGAGAACAGTCTTACTGAGAATTCATTCATCAATTAGAATCCCATTGCAATATTTTTACTATAAAAGGGATAGTCCAGCCAAAACTAAATTCTGACTTGTATGTCGTTACAAACCTCTATGCATTTCTTTCTTCTGCAGAGTACAAAGGATATTTTGAAAAATAAACCAAAACAGCTTCGGTTCCCATTGACTTACATTTTATTTTACAAATAAACAGGTTTGGAATGACATGAGTCTAAGAAAATAATGACAATGTTTATTTTTGTGTGGGCCATATCTTTAACCTCTGAATGGTGATGCTTTTACAATAGGATGTCAATCATACCAAGAATAGGGGGAAAAAAACGTTTTGCTAATAAGCTTGAGGGATGCTTTTCACTTCAGGAAGACACAAAATGAGACTTATGGAGGCAGAGGTCAACACAACCAATCAAAGTAGCGCTGAGGTCACGGGCATGAGGTTAGTGAGGTAGCGCAATTGCCTCGAGATGAGGTTGTGTGTGAGAAGTTCACTCTGTCTGATGAGACATGAGACTCATCCACTGAAACAAAGATCTTCCTTGTAGTTAAATAAAGGCTTTAACAGAGACAACAGCAGCAACATTAACATTGTTCCTGATGCGGTGTTATCTGTGAGACTCATCAGGTGCTGATTGAGGCCATTTTGAGTAGTAAGTGCACTGGCCTGTGCTCCTCACGGGAAACAGGAAGTCAAGCTTAGGAGCGGTATGCTACGGTGTCCTCTCAGGTGATAAGAGACGTCGAGTTTTTCCCCAACATTCCTGACATCTTTTATAAACATCCATCATGGAAAATGAGACAATGTCTAAAAATACTACGCTTGAAAGTGTCATAAATGTTTAGACCAGAGGCCAAATAAATTTCCCACTCAGAGACCACCAACAAACATCAGGCCGCCCTGCTCTCCATGCTGGGAAGGATGTGAGCCATACAGCAGAGGTCAACACTACGTGACAAAACATTCAGGGAGATTGTTCAGCTGCCTGATCAAACTCAGGTTACTTGTTTGTCAGAAAACATGGAGCTTCATGAAGTGACTCCCTGTACTAGGAGCGGCACAGGCAGCTGGTTAAGCTGACCGCCAACTTGATCATGCTGATCTACTGCAGCAGTGACCCGTGAGCTTTTACTACATATGCCAAAGCATACAAAGTTCAGCTACTGAACACAGGAAGTGATGGAAGGGGGGCTTTATTTAAAAAAGGAAATTGAAAAATAATACCAAAAAAAAAAAAAGAGAGAAAGAAAACTGGCTGGGCCGCATGAATGTTTTTCAAATTAACACGTTATGTAGGTTATTTAAAAACAACTACCTTTCACCACCAGACTTAAATAGACAAACCTGACTACGTAGAGACTCAAGTCATCTCTTTACAAACAATCACCAAATATAGCCCACAAATAAAACAGATGAATAACCCCACAATTAAATGCAGAACTTAGTTTTTCCAATAAAATTGTATGCATAAAACTATATATAATACATAATAATACCTTGACAATATTCCTTGGGGACTCGAGATGAATTCAAATTACTTTTTTAAAAAGACAAAAAAAGCATTAATATTACTATAAATTATTTAAAGATTAAATTATTCAAAATTAAAAATGTGATTTCTATCCCTGGAAAATGATGCAATCCTCTAATATATTTTATCAGGCACAAACTGTAGGAAAAAAAAAAAGATCTTTTAAATTATTTTTTATTATTACTATTAAAAAAAAATCAGAACATCACAAAGTAACTGGAAAAGAATATGCCTTTGAATATTGCTGTGGATAAAATTGGCCTTGGAGTCAAAAAGGTAGAGAACCACTGTTGTAGAGTAAAGCTCAACTTCACTCTATAAAGTCCGATAGCATAATGTCAGATTTGCAAGACGGCACTGAATGGCTCACCTTTAGTGAATTTCATGTAATGGACCCTTTTCTTTGAGGTTTTGGATTTCTCTTCCAAACTAAATCCTTGCTCCTGTGTGGGACCTGAAAGTACACAGAAAGGTAAAAATCATAATAAAAACAATCATTAAAAAAATGGCATCAAACAAAAATTTTTTTAACATATGAGTGATTCAAGCAACCAAAATGTAATGGACATGAAAACCATATAACACAGTACAGGTCATTTCAACATTACAATAGCACCACCTATTGGACGTTAAGGAGAATTAAACTCATTTCAAAACTACTTTTTACACAAGTGGTGTTTTGCCTTTGAGGTTCAAAATTCAGCTTACTGTCAGTGTGGCTCTGTCCATGGCAGTTGTTAAGCTCCGCAAGGAGTTGATTAAAATCATCCTGGTGGGCAATCCAGTTGTCCTAACAACACAAACCACCGAAAGGAAGATTGACGTAACTAAAAAAACAACGCAAAATAGAGTAGCTCAAAGAGAGAGAAAAAAATAGTGATGGTCTCTAACCTCGTTGTTTACAGTAGTGCCCAGACCCAGTTTGTTGTTCTTGGCTTTAACCTTAATGTTTTCTGTAGACCCCTGTTCACTCCTGCCAAGACCCTGTCATGCAAACAAACCAGGAAAAATGTGAGCACACACAAATAAGACTATTAGAAGATCTATTACATTTCCACACAATACAGACATGCGTTGCATCCAAAATCACATACTGTACAGTAGGTACTACATTTGATTTAAAACTTACTTCACAACCATTAAAAAAGTATGTTCTATATAGTATGAATGCATATATAATGTCTCCCACATCTTCAGGTATAGTAAAGTCACAATTGGATCATGCACACTTCAGAATCTTGCCGCAAGTAGTAAGTGATCCGGGTACTTTATCGCATACTGTTTTACACCAATTATATAGCATGGAAGTAGGCATATTCTGACACAGCGATGGAGTTATTTTATTTTTTTCACTGATTCTCTCCATGAATTCCAGCTCATCCAACAAAAAGCAAGTCAAGTCAAGTATATTTATATAGAACTTTTCACAATACAGATTGCATCAAAGCAGCTTCAGACAGAGTATCAATCAAAACCATAATAACAATGTTTGTTTCTTAGTGGAAAAACATCCACGTTTGGTAGAGTTGATTAATGGTATTAATGATTGGTTAATTAATTTGAATATCCCCAACTGAGCAAGCCAAAGGCAACAGTGGCAAGGAACCGAAAAACTCCAAGTGACCTAATGGAAAAAACCTTGGGAGAACCCAGGCTCAGTCGTGGGCAAGTTGTCCTCTGGCGATTTTGTCACTGACAGCAGGTTATGATGTTATGGTTTGTCATAACAAGATGTCATAACAAACACATCTTAAACAATGTCATATTTGCATTCAAAATGTTAGGCGAAAGACACTTAATGACAGTTGTCATAAACATTCATGAACCTTCATAATCAACACATGTCATGTCATGTCATGTCATGTCATGGCTATGAAGGTGTCATGTCAGTCTTATGTACAACCCTGGCTTAAGTAAAGTGTTACATATTAGACAATGCCACAAAAATAAAATAAATGAATAATTCAAATTGAACTTTTTTTATTAGTTTATTTTAGCTAGATAATGTTGCCATGGCAAGCAACATGTTTGCACAAACAGAATTGAAAGGTGTTCAAGAACACAAGTAGTCATAACAGATGTAGGTGGATCAACGATTTGTGGATTAATTATATATATATATATATATATATATATATATATATACTGTACACACACACACACACACACACACACACACACACATATATATATATATATATATATATATATATATATATATATATAAATAAATATGTATATATCCCTCATGTTTTTGTAATCACAAAAGTTTGTATGTTTGATGTGTTTTAAATATACGTTTTTTTTTTTATTGATATAGACCTATGTGTCTAAAATATATAAGTAATAAGTTATAAGATAATTTAAAACGTAGACAATGTGGTTGTCTCAGCAGTCATGCCAAGAGTCAGATAAGTCAATTGGCCTAAACTCTCAGCGGCGTTTGTACAGTCATTTGACGTATGTTTTTATATACCTTTCCTTTGGCCCAGCCCATACGTTCCAGCATCTTCTGTCCAAATTTAGACTCATCGTTGCTCCACGTGGTGTTTTGGGGGTCCGCTGCCCATTTCTGTTTACGACGTGCTAATAAAATCGAACAATTATGTTATTATACGTGTACAAAAAAAGAAGCAACTTTAAGATTTCGTTTCATGTTACGTTTCAATCTTTATTTATTAATTTTGTAATGTGTGTCACAAGGGTTTTGTGTCTATGAGTCAGGCCAACAGTATAAAACGGAATTATTTTAAACTAAAGTATTTGACAACTCATGATTCGCCCTGTTATAAAGGACCAAGGTGGCTAACGTTAGCCTGCTAGCAAACATACTAGACAACGTGGGGGAATGCAAAAAAGACTTTAATGTAAGATATTTATCCAAATCAAAAGCACATCCCTAATTGAATTTTACAAAACCTACAACTAATATTTTCAACATACAACTTTTCTAAAATACATTACAAATTGTAAACTCACGTTCGGCAAGCATGGACATCTTGAGGGGTCCTTGAACACATGGAGGAACAGGTAGGTTGTCCTATTTTGTGCCTGATTTAAAAAAGCTCATTTGTCGTCTCAAACATTACAATATTATTATATGATATTTAATTATTCAAAAACAACAACAAATTATATCATGCACGTGCATTTGCATTATTTACGAAATTACAAGCCTATATATCATCGTATTTGAACACTTTTGTAACAGCAGATGGCGTAAGTGGGTTAACTGCTCAGAATAATTTATAGAAAAAAAAAAACAAAATACAATAACTGCTTAAAACTAATTTCTTTGCGTAATATCTTTGATGATAGTGTATTTTATACCAGTGGTAGCTAATATCAGGATCTTAAAATCATCATCATTGCAAGGCCTTGCCAAAGTTGCTTAGATGTTTTTAAAGCTAACGATGATGACAGTATATCAATGTAAAGATTAAGTAAAAGCCTATCAATGAAAAATCCCCACAGCCTAACAGTATGTCCTGTGTTGTGGTCCTTAACAAATTTTCCTGTGGAAAATGTACTGAGCTTTTCCACAATGACTGTTCTCTTATGTCTCTAAGCCCTGAGCTGAAGATAAAGTGATTACCATAGCCAATGCAGGTATATCAGATTTTGAGGACACTGTCTGAATAACAAACAGATACTATTTCGTTACACACAATACACAGTGGACAGTCAGTCCCAAAGATCAGATTTGAAAACCAAATCAAATGTAGGCTATGCTAATGTTAGCAAATTATCTTGCACTAGCCTCCATATCTTAAATGTATAGGCCTATATATTTGTAAATAAATAAATAAACTGTACTAAAAACTTGGAAATTTTGACAACACAAATGGTAATTTCACTGCAGTGGGAAGCATGTGATTATGGAGGTGATCTTTATCTTGAGGTTGAAGAGTTCGTCTGCTGTCTGTGGTGATATACAGTAAAAGAAGAGTCTGAGTGATTAATGTTAGGCCTACCTGCTGCTGCTGATGTCTTATTGCATTCCCATCTCACTGGGTACACATAGCACAACGGCAGAGATGAGAAAGTCACAGATCGAATTGCCAATAGTAATCACTCAGAACTGTGGCAAAAAAGGGATGTACTGGAGCATATTTATATCTGAAAAACTACATGAACTACAGTAAATACATACACTTTGGTGCCGGGCCCCATTGCTTTTTTAAAATTAAAGGCACAATTGTTTGTGATATTGTGGTGGAAATTGTAAACTATATATTAAACTAACCATGTTTCTAACATCTAACATACTTATTTAACATGCTAACACTTTGAAACACCATGTACTAAAACGTTGTTCTGTGTTTTTAAATGTTGTTGGCCTATGTTGCCATTCCCCTTTTGAGTGTGTATAACATATGGGAAATGAAACTAGACAGATGACTAGGTTATAACCTTGTGATTAACAATCAAGTAATCATTAAAACAAAGTTTGCTTTACCTAGAAGGTTTTGTATATGAAGAACCAATCAAAATAATGTCATTTTGCCATACCTCCTTATTCTATGAAACTGTTGTATCCGTGTTATGGGATTCTCAATGGGATTTGTCTGATTGTCTCCAGCCTGGCTTCTTCTAGGGGAAAGGAAATGTCGAGAACTCCCGGCCGTGAATAAAGTATTTAGAGGACATTTGCCGTAGTCTGCTTGTCGATTATTCCTGTGCAGGAAGCAAGTTGGTTAGGGGGACAAGTATTAGCACCCAGCCGCCGTCGATGTGTAGATGCGCTAGGGTATAAATTGGACGTAGTTAGGTTTAGGGAAAAATCTACCATTAGATAAAATACTATTAAAATATCATATCATGAAAATTAACTATTTTTAACAATTGTTTATTTAAAAATGTATAATATTCAAGTAAATAATCTAAGTTAATTATCTTCTACTTTTCACATTTTTACAGATTGTCACTTGACAAGTTATTGTAAAAAAAAAAAAGAAATGAAGACAATTTTTTTACATTTTGTCTATTTAAGTGTCTGGAAAAGATCAGTAAAACATGTTTGTTTTTTCATTCAAAAGAATCATCAGACCATTATAGCAATATGGAAGTCCATATATTGTTGTTCATTTGCATAGCAACCGGTTATGTGGCAGCTGCAACAGGAGTTTTTTGGCACTCCCCTGTCTAAGGAACCAACCAGGAATGTATATATACTGATCTTCATTTAGCACAGACAGATTGTCAGCTCTGATATTCTATAGTCATCCAGCATGTTGACAGACTCCTTCCTCTCACATTGGTTGACAGGAGACATGAGGAGGTGTGTCAACACATGATCAGTGGTTACACAACTTGACACATATTAACATCTCTGACTCTGCCTCCAGCAGAAATTTGAACACCATTGCTCAGTTCTGGGAAACACAACGGGGTTTATTGATTCAGGTGTTCCAGCATACGAGAATGCGTGTGAGCAGCTTATGATGTCATAGGGTACCATGAGTGTTATGCAATGTTAGCATGAGATTTAATTTAGATTATGGAAAACATTTCTGTTAATAATCTAAAATAAAATCGATATGATAATAAATGGATATTTACAGCAAGAATGTGAAAGTTGGAAGGTTTTTCTGTTCAAACCAACTTCCAAGAAATTGCCAGTACAAAAGTCTTACATCATATGTAAAATGATTTATGCATGTAGTTTGCATGTATCACAACATGCTTTTTACAGCTTATTTCAGATGTGATACTCGACGATGGAAAAAGCAAAGAAAACGCGGTCTGAAGAGACTAGATAAAGGAAAAGAGAATGAGTCAAGAGACATTATGTATCCATGACACTGGTAGCAGCAGACACGAGCGCTCAGCTTGAGTTCAAAAACACATTTTAGCGCTAGATCTCTTATTTAAAGCAAAAAAAAAATGCACACTATGCAAGATTTGTACATAATTATAACAGCTTCAAATGGGTATCAGGCTGTGAGTGCAGAGACGCTCTGTGTGAGTGGTATTTACTGTACGAGAGTAGCATTAAATACAAGTACTCCACAGCGACTCTAGGGGTCATTGTTTGACAAAAAAGGAATTCCTGCATAGTGTGCCTTTAAATAAGTCAATACATCATCAATCTATCTTCCAAAACATGGGAGGGTTTTTGCGGGAAATTGAATTCGTAAGTTACTCGCCCGTGTGTCTCTCTCGTCATATCCGTAAAAAGAGAAAAGTTTTTATTGCTCAACAGGTGAGTAAGTTATTTCATTGAGCAGATAAATTGTCATATGTAGCAGGTATCTAACAGAGGGTCCCATCAGTTTTACATCTTAATATAAGCTAAATTTGCAACCTTGCATTTTTAATATTATGGTTTTAACTTTACACATTTATAATCTTGTTTGAAAATAAAATATAGGCTAGCATAACTTATTTTTTTCTATTTAATTGTTTGAGGTTTATTTAATGCATATGGCTGCTATAATTATTACTAAATAGTATTTACCTTAAAGGCATAGTTCACTTAGAAATTAATTTTTGATATGTTTTAACTTACCTCAAGGGCATCCAAGATGTAGGTGTTTTTGTTTCCACAGTATTTTCAATTTTGATATTTTTAGGTTAAACCGTTGTTGTCTTAGTCATATAATGGACATTCCTCTTTTCCGAAATCGCTGTGTTAACGTACACACGTACGAAGTGTACACGCGTACACGTGTGAGTGACGTACACGCGCGAGAGATCACTTCCGGCGCATGCGTAGACTGAAGCGCCCATTCCTTAAGATCAGTTGGAAGTGGCTTTGATTACAAGAGGTAAAAACGATATAAAAACTGTTACTGTTCGTTTTCTCACACAAACCACTCGTTTCGTGTCTTAGGCCATCATGTGTAATTTACGAGTAATTAAATCATGTTTAATTTGGACTTCTCTGTGCATGCTCTTTGGTGGGCCCCATAAATCTCCATTATATGACTGATGTTAGACAACAACAGCTAAATATCAAAATTGAAAATACTGTGGAAACAAAGACACCTTCATCTTGGTTGCCCTGCGTTGAGGTAAGCTAAATCATGTCAAAAAATAATTTCAAAGTGAACTATCCCTTTAATACAATATAGGGCTATATGTGACATCAAATAAAAGTAACTTTTTCGTAACTATATAAATGTAACAACTACATTTTAACTTTTTTACATTGGCTGGGCTTTGCGTTTCCCTGAGTCTGGTGGTCAAGTAGAGTTGTCAACATGAGTCAATGTGATGTGTGGCAACTTCTACATTCTACAACATTATGAAATGATGGTAAGATATGAAAAGAAGGAAGTACACATAAACAAGATTTTCAACATTGTTATTGAACAAAGGATTTTGATACTTAAAAAACCCCCGTTGCAACCATTTTACATGAGATACAATTTCATTTGGAAGAGCTGCTGACAGTTAAAATTGTCCTCAACTTAAACTCGGCTAGTGCATAACTCTCATATTACAGACGGCAAAGTTCTTTGCTAAGCAACTCACCACAAAACGACACTATGCAATCTTTTTTTTTTTTTTTTTTTTGCAGTGTTCATGCTAGACTCAAAAGAAAACTTCAATCTATTTACAGTTTGCATTCCGCATTTCCAAGTACTTTCATAACCCTGTTGATAATAGCTACCGCCCTATTATTGCTCCACTTTAAAGAATGGTAAATCTTTTGTTACTGCATATACTGTACAAACAGACATTACATAACTTGCTTTCAAAGTGTACACTTGCAATTTAAATAAAAAGGAGACTTAGTTTAAAGGCACTAAAATATTTATATGGCATGACTCCAATCAAAACATGCAAAAGCAACAGGTCCCAGATAAGGAAAACAACTCCACTGGTTCAGAGATAACCTAGGGAGATTATAGTCTTAAATCATGCATTATGTGCTAATTACCTATATCAGAAGTGACAACTCATGAAAGACCATGTTAAAGATAAAAAAAGCTTTATTGACAAGTTTTGTGATCATAAGAACAAAAAAATGTGGATGCAAAGCTTAACTAAAAAAAAAAACAAAAAAACAATAATTTAATTTTGTTTCCCAATCTCCCCTTCTTACAGAATAATATATTCGCTGTGGGAAAACATTTATGAGCAAATGCAAGATATGAGAGAAATTGCATTTAACAAAACGCAACTTTATTAAAGAGTAGAGCAAGACCGAAACTTGCAATTTACTTGTGAGCAGTCTGAATAAATAGATAGTGCACAAGAGCGAGAAAGCAACCAAGAGGGCTATGATAACATCATTTATCAAGACAACCCCCACTTTCCCTGAGGACCTACATTTGAGTCCCACCCTGTTTAAACCAGACTCTTTTGTCTGTTTATTTTAGAATGGGCTGTTACAATTCCTATTACTTGTATTCCCATTACTCTGAACACAGCCATTAGCCTTTTGCCTAATATATTATGTTCTTCGACAAAGGTACCGTATATTTATTTATATTAAATAGAACAAAAAAAGAGAGAGAAAAGAAACTCAGAAAGAGAGTAGAACATGGGAAGCTACGTTTTAGGAGCTGCGGCATTCATTTTTGGATTTTCATGTCTGTTGGTTTTATTTTGCCCGGAGACATAATTGATCCTCTTTCACTAAATGCAAAGCACTAAAGGCAATGTTGGGTTTAAACCCATTCCTTTTCCAACATTTAGCTTTTAATACCTGTGAGTCTTTGATGGTTTTCCCCTCTGACTAGAAAAGAGACCCAATCTTTTTGTATAATCTGCAATTATACACACATAGCCTGCGCTAGTCTATACAGATGACACAAAAGAGAACAGGAATATGACTATTTACAGACCATGGATCTCTCTTCTGCATCACCATAAATCTTTATAATATGTACATATTTTCATTGTCCATGAGCAGACTCAGTTGGCCTGAGCGATGCGGGAGTCTGAGCCGATGAAGTTTAGCATCGTCTGGACCAACTCTGGCAGATCGTAGTCATGCTTCCAGCCCCAGTCATTGCGGGCGTTGGAGTCATCAAAGTTCATGGGCCAGCTGTCAGCTATGTAGAAAGAAAAAGAAAAACAAGATCATACAATATTTCGCACCATCTATTATACATATATTTTAATGCTTCTGAGTGTAGCGTTATTGGCTCATACCAATAGCCTGTCGTACAGAGTCAATCTCATATGTGACCTGAAGGTCAGGAAGCTGTTTCTGGACCTCATTTGTGAGTTCCTCTGGCGTGAAGCTCATGGCGTTGATGTTGTAGGTGCGCATACTGAGTGTTTCTGTTGGTGCCTCCATCACCTCCAGCGTGGCCCGCAAACAGTCATCAATGTACATCATGGGAAGCCGTGTATCTGGCTTTAGGTTGCACTCAAACTTGCCACTCTTGATGGCGTCATGGAAAATCTGCACGGCATAGTCTAGAAAAGCCAAAAGAATCAGACTTTCATGACTCATGACCTTTTTTATTTGGCCAGCAGTAACAGCTGTAAAATAACGGTTCAGGTTTTAACATGTAACTTTAGGCAGTAGGAGGTGTGGTTCAGACGGCTGGCTAGCATTGGTGCTGGCTATCAGTATATCTAAAAATACTCGAACACCCCCGTTCTGAGCATGTGCCAGTTGCATAACTTCATTTACGTACATGAGCAAGGTCATGTGGCAAAAACACAGATGGAGCAGAGTGCACCGTACCTGTTGTGCCACCGCCAGGCTGCGAGTCGGCAGAGATGATACCGGGGTACCGCAGACAGCGGAAGTCGAGGCCATAGCGGTGGTGGTAGTACTGCGGAAAAAGAATTATGGGTAAAGATTAACATTCTGAGTGACATAAGGCCCAGAACAGTACTGAAAACACTGAAATAAGGGTGAGCCGTGTCTTACCTCTCCCATAAGCTCCGCGTGGACTTTAGAGACGCCATATATGGTACGTGGTCTCTGCACACAGAGGTCAGGAGTGGGGTTTCGAGGGGAAGTTGGTCCAAAGGCACCAATGGTGCTGGGCACAAAGAGCCGAAGCCCGTGTTCTGCTGCAATGTCGAGGATGTTGTGTAGTCCTACAGAAAAAAATAAAAATAAAAAAGAACGAAGAAAATTTTATAGTACGATCAAGGGAATTGAGAATACATTTCTGTTTGATAGCTGTGAAAAATTCTAAACATTTTCCACAAAAAACATTCATTAAAAGTACTTTTGGGGGTAGAATAATAATTATTATGAGTATAGAGAATGTTAAATCTAACTGTATTATCTAAATGACAATCAGCCACAAGTTTTCTAAAGTCGTACCTGTGATGTTGACTGCTCGTGCCAGTGCCACATTAGCTTCCCCAACAGCACTTAGAAGAGCACTGTAATGCACTAACCACGTGATCCTGTTATTTACTACAATCTCTCGCAAGTTCTTGTAGTCCAGAATGTCAGAGTAGATAAAGGGTCCTGTGTGGAAGAGGTTGAGAACTGTTAATCGACACGTCAGCACTTGCGTGATCTCTTCAAGCTCTATGCTTTAAGTATTGTTTATTAAAAATGGTTAACGGAATGATAATGGAAAATTACGTTAATTAAACTATTAAAATAAATGCTAGGAATGCAAATCGATTTTCAAAGCTACTAATTATAAGAGATTGTACAGAACAGGTCATTCACACAAGTAACTTAATTAGCATTTCTTTACTGATTTAAATTACCTTATCATGGAAATAATAAATAATCCCTTAAAATAACTCTAAACTACATTTGTCAAACCTGGTTTGAATCATTTTTTTGTAATTTATTTAATAATATAAATAATAATGAGACATAACTCACTATTAGAGTGCAAACACAATTACTTCTCTAGTCTAATTAAATCATATATTAAGAAATCACAGCCTTTCATTTTAGATGAACAAAAGACGTACCGCTGTGAAATACGTTGCTTGGTGGTTTCCTGATATCTGAGAGGATCACATTGTTTTTTCCAAATCGCTTCCTATGAAATGGAAATAAATGTTTTATATACGTTTTTTTTTTTTTTCACATAAAACTTAAAATTAAGTTTTACACTTACTAATAAATCTATAATACAAAACTCAAAACATTTTGTCCATGTACTGTAACATACATACCTTAAGAGTTTAGCAAGCCCAACCCCTAGTTGCCCGAGGCCACCTGACAGAGAGAGAGAAAAACAATTATGAAACATTACGCAAAAAACACAGTAGGGGAGTCAGGAAGCACCTTTCTTAAAAATAAGCTACAACATGTGAGAATTACACACGTCCCAACTTTTTTAAATAAAAATAATGCATTAATCTAGTCGTTATCATACCGGTGATGAGAACTTTAGGGTGGTCCGTCTCAGAGAAGGACACAGAATGAAAGCTGGCATCAGATCCAGAGGTGACCTGACGTGGGGAAAAGCTGATGTTGCGTATAGCTACAGTCAGAGACTGACATCCACACGCAGGGGTCAGCAGGGCCTGCTTTGCCACCTTACTAAGGGCTCTGAAGACTGGCATACTCAGTTACCTGCAAAAACAAGAGGATAGACAGTGAGACATCACATCACCAAATGAAAGTGTATTAAAAGAATAGTTCAACCTAAAACGTGAACTGTCATCATTTACTCACCATCGTGTCCTTCCAAACCTGAATGACTTTCTTTCTTCTGTGGAACAATGGTGATAACCTCAGTCACCATTCACTTTCAGGGCATTTTTTTCACTCCATACAATGGAAGTGAAAGGTAAGTTAACGGTCATTTTGCCCAACTTCTTTTTTCTTGTTCCATAGAAGCAAGTCATTCAGGTTTGGTAAAGACTGGACATCTAAATATAAAAGGGTGTGCTATATTTGTATTAACATTTCGGGTCAAACATCGAACATATTTTTTACTTCAGAGCTTTACATCACACGAGGCTCAGAATAACCGATTTAACGTTACCCACGCCGATATCCAAATAAACTTTAATGAACCCTAGCGCAATGCATCTCAAAGTTAATCCTTCATACAGTAAAATTTAGAAAACAATAACGTTACGTTTCCAGGTTGCCATCGAAGAACTTCTTACCTTGCAAATTGTGAAAGGAACTAAAAGGAACGAAGAATGTAATGTGAGCGTACTTATACTCATATCTATGCTTATACTGCCCCGCCTTCAGCGGCAGCCAATCAGCACGCAAGACCTGACCGCGAGCGCTGCTCTGGCACCACGCCAAGCACGGGAGGCAAGATGCCCAACACATCCTTCAATCCAACCTCTATCTAGACTTTATTGTGCCAAGTTCCGCCTCGTATTCCCCGTTTTGCCGAACAATACCATGACACACAATCCGAGCCTTCCTATCAGCCGGTTAGATCTTGAACGGAAAGGTCAGTCAGCCTTCTGGGAATTTAGATTGTAAAAGACTTGTAACATTATATACTGGCTTTTCCAGTCAACCCTGGGAAGTAATGCTGGCTCTGTCGTCTTGTTACATGTTCACAGTGTTCATACTTTCTCCTGTGTTAGTAATTAATCATTGGTAGACATGCTTAGAGATTGTAAACCCCGTATTCTTGTTTACATATTTATTGGGCTAATTCAGCACGTGGTGCGTATTAATGAATGCGTGCCCATCACCCAACAGTCGCCACGTAGTCCCGCCCGCTATGGTCTCTTTAAATAACGTTATTCACATACAGCCAAAATAATGCTCTCACTTCATAACCCATTTTACCCGTATGCTGCCGCTCTTCGAAATTTTTATCCATTTCACTCGGGCATAGACTAAACCATGAGCGTGAATATTTCAAGAAATAAGCACTGAGGAAGCTCATGATTGGTTGTCTGTTGCTAAACAACTAAGTTAGCATTTATAGCGGTAAGGGAACTGAAGTGATGTAACTAGCGGCTCAGTCTGCGTGTGAAGAACGTGAGCAAACGCACGAGGACGACACCCTATGAATGAACATCTTCAAATAACGAGCACATCAGGATTTTGATATTCTTCTGATGTTCTCTCAAATGAACAATCGCATTTTGTCAAACGCTAAAGGGGAGTCTTGCGATGAAATGATGAATAAAGACAGAGAACAATCACCGCTTCATTATAGGCCTACAATCACAAGATATTTGCCGAGATCTTTAAGACAAAGTAACTTAATTAGATCGTAAAATCGATTCAACAGATGGTGTAAAATAAAAAAATTGCCTAATCCATTTTATCTTTCTAGTCAAGGCCATAGAAAGCTTAACGTTACGTTTCTAATTTCAATCAAGTTAAAAGCAAAACGCAATAGATTTCAGTAAATTAATTCACTCACCTATTGACAAATAAGATTTAGAGATTTGGCAAAAAAAAAAACGTGTTTTTCTGGTCGACGCGAGCAGCTTTCTTTATCTGGTTTTCCGTCACTGACGGTTCTTCTTTCAGTATCTTCCAGTATTGCATCAGCTCGCGAGGAGGTTTTATATCCGCAGCACGAGAGGCTTTCAAGAGACGCCGGCTGCGCTCTGATTGGCCAGCGCTGGAGGTGAGGTCCTGGCCACGCCTCCCTGACGTCTCTGGAACTGAAACATGACGACTGAGAGGGTCTTCTTCAGGGCTGCACCGGCTGCATGTTCAACCTATGTCCTCTCACAACGAATGCAGTCAACAGGACCTTTGATTATGAGATGGGGGTGGAAAGTGAGCGCCAGAAATCTCGTAGTAAAGATTGAGAGAACATTTCTTATTTCTTGTAACATATTCTGTATTCCGATATGGAGAAACAAACAAATAATGACCCAATGAAATGTTTCTTTCCCTAAATTTAGTAAGAAAATCGTTTATTCTTAAACATGTTAAATACTATTGAAAGTCGGCATGAAACGGATGTTGCAGTAACTTTCGAGTGATGGCTTCGTTCTCAAGCAAGAAAAAATGTAGGGCGGGACTTGATTTTGTCCATCGTGAATGATTGGATGGTTGTGGTTTGCTATTGCTGTGATGTCATTTGAGTGACAGGTTGCCCCGCTCTCACACCAGTAAACACGTCAAACACGTCGTCTTGTTTACTTGTTTACACCCCGTCTATGATTTACACACACGAGAAAAGAGATGTCCTTGCAAGAGGAAGAGTGCACAACATGAATTAAAAAAGTTAAACAAAATATGTGCACGGATAAATCATTTATAATAAATAATGCAATAATACTTAACAAAAAATAGAATAGTCCATTTTGACTTCATGGTGATTTTAAACTTTTTTATAATATTAATAATAATTATAATTATTATTATAAATCTGTGAACACCCCTAAAAAGTATGTTTTGGTATCTTTAGAAAAAAATTAAACCTGTGCATAAGCTGTGAAGAGGAACTTTACCAACATAAATCAGCCTTTCCTTTTTTTATTGTTGCGGCTATTTTCTGCCAATGCTTGGACGACAAGTCAGAGCTATTACAGGTTATGGTCTGCCACACACCATTAATATGATTAAGTGTTCCTGTGATGCTTGAAAGTCATTTCCTCTCAAAACAATCAATCGAATCTTTACCCTGAAAATCCATTAAAATCTCTATTGCATCACTCCAGGTGTATTTATGAGGCTTCTCAATTTAAGATGTCAATACTTGGACAGAGAAAGGAGGACAAATCTTCCTCTTTCCACAAGGTTAAAAAGCATACTACACAGAACAAAATAGTGAATGAGTAACTCAAAGTGACAATTTTAGGCTTGCGAGAGGTGTTTGCCAGAGGGGTTACTTCAGGTCTGCTACCATCTCTGTGAACCTAATGTGTCTATTAGACATTGTTTTTACTAAATTAAAAGCAAAATAAATTTAGGACATACATTATTTCCAGACATCGCAAAGATATTGTTGCTGATCATATACACAGCTCAAGAGGTCCCGTATAAGGGGCACTTGAGACTTGAGTAGCCCCGTCCCCCAGGAAGTACTGCATGTTCCTGATAATGAACAGGGAAAGCACACACATTTATGTGATGAGAGATGTGGTGCTTTACACAGCCAACGGTTGTATATGAGCATAAGCATATGCAATCATTTGTGACAAAAATGACAAACTTTTTCTCAAATGTTGATGTCCTACAGTTTGTATATATATATATTAGTTCCTATAAAATATTTTATTTCAACTATATATTGAATAGATCCCATTTTGTTTGCTTTTTTTCTTTGTAGCACATGTATTATCAGTGATTAGTCCTTATCGGTCATTTGCACTGATAAGATGCTAAGTCAAACTAACCACTGTAGACTCTTTACAGTAGTCAGTCTGATTACTGAAACTGATTACTGTCACTCTTCTAGATGTCAGTTTAAATATGAAAACACCACAAGGCTGTACATTAAACAATCTTTTAATGCCCACAGAACATAATGAACTTCAGTCTAACATTTGATCAATATTGCATTTGAAAAGCAAGGCATGACACTATACAGACACTTATAAGACAAATATTAATGATGTATGTCAGTTGATGCCACTGAAGTGCCAGAATCAATGAATAAAAAATGATTAACTTGTGCAAATGTATAAAAAAAACAATAACAATAACAACTGACTGTCTATATCCAGAATCAAAATCTTCCTTAAACTAAAACACATTCATAACTGCAGCAGTCTATTTGATGATAAGAACCCACTGGGATATTAAAATGACCTTTATGTGCAACGGGAGTCATACATCATAGATTTAAATATTCACATATTTATGAAACAAAGGGTTCCAAAAACCTCAATGGCACAATGAGAATATATCTTGATTTATTGAGAAATGAGTTGCAAGAGTTTTTGCAGAAAACACTTCCAGTCTAAATCAACATGCTCAAGTCATTCATGGAGAACTGGAGGGAATGAAGTGCTTTTGTCCACAACGGAAATTGTAATGATCCCAGTGGGCTTTATTTTTAGATGTTCCCAAACGGCTTTGTGTATCCTAATAAAGATCTTTACATTCGCACACACAAAGAATGGTTCTAAAGGCTGTGGATGGAGATTTATGACACATTATTTTGATTCACAATACACAAATTTGTCTTTTTAAACAAAATGCAAAATATTAGTACTCTATACAAATATGTATATTACCCGTGCACAGAAGATCTTACATTTGTGCCACTTTTGGCAATCTCTTATTCATGTGGCCAGATTTATGGATCATGTAAGACCACCAGTGTTATATTGAAATTATATTTCCAGCATCTCATAGTCAGTCTCTAATTATTTCCCTTCCAAAACAGCTGTTTTATAGCTGCATTGTCTATTGCACTTTGTGACAACTGAATAAAAATAAAAAATGGCACATCAGCAGGCCGATATTTTCTTTGAGAATGTGTAAAACACAGCACCCAATTTGCAATACAAGGGAAATGACATAATAACCAGCTATTCAGTTCAAAGTGTTTACATTGAACAAGCAATAATGAGGACGAGTGCGGCATAGTGTTTGAGGGAGAAAATTACAATGATATACAGCCATAGAGTAGAATCCATTGGAGACCAGCAGTGAAATATGTTAATGTGAATAAAGTTTAGCAGTGGAATGATAAGGAAAGAGTACGGTCAGAGGGAGGAGTGTAGATACATACGTGTAGGACTCATTTTGTTTTGTTGGTGTCCTACGGTGTCTGCAGCGGGCTGTCCTCTGTCTCCAGCTGGGCCAGCTGTCTCCGCAGACTGTTCACTTTGTTCTGCAGCTCCTTGTTGTACTCTATAATATGGACCATCTCCTGATAGGCCTCATCCAAACACTTTGTGGAGCGATTCCAGCGAAGGAATATCCCTATAGAGAAAACAAGAACAAAGTAAATCTGTCACAATGTGCCTGAAATGTGATTATATATTCTTGGGACGCTGATCAATTAACTTTTCTGGCATTTAAAAAAAAAAAGTTAGGTCAGTTTGATGTTGCATGAGAGATTTAAAGGGGTAATTCCCCACTGACTAAAAAACCTGGCTGCCTACGCAATGGATAGGCATGTTGCAGTCCAAGGTAATTCCCACCAGTCTATTCCTATTAGAATGGAAAAATCAGAAATACCTCTGTATTTGTCGTCAACATTTATTTAAAATATCTCACAAAAGCTAGTACACCCCTTACATTTTAGTATATCTTCTCGAGGGTCAAGTCAATGTGAGAGTAGAGAGTAGTCAATGTGCTGCTTGTTAAGCATTATACATTTACCGTCCTCTGAAAATAACTATACATACAGCCATTGTTGTCAAAACAGCTGGCAACAAAAGTGAATACACCCTAAGCAAACATGTCAAAACTGTGTCCAAAGTGTGAATATTTTGTGTGAGCACCATTGTTATCTAGCACTGTCTTAATCTTCCTAGGCATGTAATTCACCAGAGCTGCACAGGTTGTTGCTGGGACCCTCTTCCACACATAATGACATCACAGAGCTGCTGGATGTTAGACACATGGCACCTCTCCACCTTCTACTTGAAGATGCCCAACTGGTGCTCAATAGGGTTCCGGTCTGGAGACATACTTAGACACCTTCACCTTCAGCTTCCTCGGCAAGGCAGTTGTCATCTTGGCGGTGTGTTTGGGAAGTTGGGCTCGTTATCATGACGTTCGGCAAAGTTTCTAAAGGGAGGGCATGATGTTCTGTTTCAAAATGTTACAGTACATGTTGGAATCCATATTTCCTCAATGAAGCACAGCTCCCCAGTATCAGCAGCACTCATATAGCCCCAGACCATGATGCTACCACCACCATGCTTGACTGTAGGCAAGACACAATTTTCTTGGTTATCCTTACCAGGGTGTCGCCACACCCGAAGGAACACTCGAATAAGTGCTATTGGAAGACATCCTGTCATAGCTTTTTGGTACATAGCGGTTACCGTAGATACAACACGCATTTGAAAAAGCGAGGCACTGAAGAGCACAATTCGTTTGAATGCAAAATACAATTTCACCACTAGAAATTCCGAAATATTGTCCTCTTAAATGACGTACAGCTGCCTATTATCACTTAGGGTGTATTCACTTTTGTTGCCAACTATTTTGACAATAATGGCTGTATATTTCAGAGGACCGTAAATATACACTCACCAAAAGGATTATTAGGAATACCTGTTCAATTTCTCATTAATGCAATTATCTAATCAACCAATCACATGGCAGTTGCTTCAATGCATTTAGGAGCGTGGTCCTGGCTAAGACAATCTCCTGAACCCCAAACTGAATGTCTGAATGGTAAAGAAAGGTGATTTAAGCAATTTGGAGCGTGGCATAGTTGTTGGTGCCTGAGTATTTCACAATCTGTTCAGTTACTGGGATTTACACGCACAACCATTTCTAGGGTTTACAAAGAATGGCGGGAAATGGGAAAAACATCCAGTATGCGGCAGTCCTGTGGGAGAAAATGCCTTGTTGATGCTAGAGGTCAGAGGAGAATGGGCCGACCGATTCAAGCTGATAGAAGAGCAACTTTGACTGAAATAACCACTCGTTACAACCGAGGTATGCAGCAAAGCAGTTGTGAAGCCACAACACGCACAACCTTGAGGCGGATGGACTACAACAGCCCAAGACTCCACCGGGTACCACACACCTCCACTACAAATAGGAAAAAGAGGCTACAATTTGCAAGAGCTCACCAAAATTGGACAGTTGACGACTGGAAAAATGTTGCCTGGTCTGATGAGTCTCGATTTTTGTTGAGACATTCAGATGGTCTTAAGTCTTAAGATGGTAATGAGAATATGGATCCATCATGCCTTGTTACCACTGTGCAGGCTGCTGGTGGTGGTGTAATTGTGTGGGGGATGTTTTCTTGGCACACTTTAGGCCCCTTAGTGCCAATTGGGCATCATTTAAATGCCACGGCCTACCTGAGCATTGTTTCTGAACATATCAATCCCGTTATGGCGACCATGTACCCATCCTCTGATGGCTACTTCCAGGAGGATAATGAACCATGTCTCAAAGCTTGAATCATTTCAAATTGGTTTCTTGAAAATGACAATGAGTTCACTGTACTAAATTGGCCCCCACAGTCACCAGATCTCAACCCAATAGAGCATCTTTGGGATGTGGTGGAATGGGAGCTTCGTGCCCTGGATGTGCTTCCCACAAATCTCCACCAACTGCAAGATGCTATCCTATCAATATGATCCAACATTTCTAAGGAATGCTTTCAGCACCTTGTTGAAACAATGCCATGTAAAATTAAGGCAGTTGTGAAGGCAAAAGGGGGCCAAACACAGTATTAGTATGGTGTTCCTAATAATCCTTTAGGTGAGTGTATACTACTATACAAGCAGCACAATGACTACACTAAAATATATCCAAGTTTCATTTCTATAGTATTGTCCCTTGAGAAGATATACTAAAATGTTTGCTAAAATGTAAGGGGTGTCCTCACTTTCGTGAGATACTGTACATATAATAACGACACTGTAACAACACAGTGAGGTTACACTTTGAATACAATGCCTTGGAAGAAATGCCACAAGCAAAAATAACATATAAACTGGTCACATTCGGTATTCATGACAGGCATTAAGCATAATCAATTGCACCAAGTGTCTCAACACATGTTTACAACTGCATTTGTAATTAAGCTACAGAGGGATTTTTGTTTAGTTGAGCTACAGTCTTCATCTGCATAATCAAATATTTTAAGGATTAAATAAACTGTTGCACAATACACAAGACAAGAGCATAATGCAGAGGCCAATTGTAGATTAACATACAGTACATGCACATGCTGGACGAAGACAAGCTACAGTACAATCACATTTTATAGGTCTGTTAGTCTGAATAAAAATTAATGCAATACAAGTCAAATTACTTATTAAATAAATTAAATGTATTACAGTTTAAATTCATATTAAATGCAATTAGTCAAACTTTTGAGAGCTTTTTGACCCATCTAAGAAGGACTTTTAGTAAATCTGTATTTATAATGTATACTTTAATGTCAATTGTATTGATACTTCTATGTCATGTATTACTTGTATGCCATGTATTATAATATATTAAAATTAGGGGCTGTTGAATGCTTGAAACTGACTGATGATTTCAGGGAAACGCACAGCTAAAGTAGTTCCAGGCAGGTCTTGACCGCAATACAGTTCTGAATAACTTCACCACATGATTTCCTTATTTGAAAGGACTTTACAGACTTACAAAACCAAAACACAAAAGGACACTGACCAAGCAAATAAATACAGTAAACAACAGGATAAAAAGGATACACTGTTTCCATGTTTTTGCCATAAAATTACATCTTATGTACAGACAGCACACTGTCTTTCTCTCGCTCTCTCTTCCTCTCAAACGCACACATACAGTATCAGTAAACTGGTTTTGCAACTTAAAAGCTACATAACATTTCTTACTAGTGATGTAATAACAGCGCTGTTCTTGGAGCAGATACACTAACAGTTTAGCTATTACTAGACGCTGCTGCTGCACTGTTGAGAGATGCACAGACTCAGGTAATTGACACATGACACATTGACACAATTGAAAAACCTGACAAATGTTTTGGAATACATCATCTGTACAATGACCCGAGGTGTGGTAACTAGTATAAGTGGAATAATTGACTCCTGGCAGTTGAATTATTAGAAAGTAATGCACACCGAGGTGTCACTCCTCTTCATGGCATTACCACCTCGGGTGTGCTTTATTTTCGAACTATTTAATGGCCCATCTTCATTTATCCCTTACGTTGCAACTTCAACATTACAAATGTGTAATTACAATTTAGTAAACTTAAAACATATTACGTTTAAATGTATTATCATATAACACTGCAGTTAAAATGATACTAAAATACTTTATTTGTGCTTTAGTATGCTATCAAAATAAGTGTACAAGGGATACAAATAAACACACTTTTTAAATGTGTTAAATAACTTTGCCATACCTCAAGGTTTTACATAAGGAAACATACAGAATGACCGGAATCTTTGTCGACACACCCATGTTTCTGAGCGCACGTACAGCTGACAGTCTTTAATAATGTCAGGAGCGGAGAAAACTGGTCAATACCCACCCAACCGTGAAATTAACATTAGAAACATAGTTGTTTCTCAAAGGACCTGGAAGCTTAAATTCTTTGGGCACACTGTCCTCCCATACTTCCAATTATTGCTCAATGCAAAGGCTTTTCAGATCCCATATCTTAATATAGCCTATCTTTAAAATAAATAGTTTAAACTAGATCTTTTGGTAACTACATAATCAGTTAGTTTCATTTCATAGTTTATATGACTATTATTCTGAAATGTGAAAAATACTATTAATAAAGAACGAGTCTGTGTGTCTAAACGTCTGACTGGCAGTGTATATGAAAGGTCTAAACATATCTGTGAGTTGTTTGAGAACTGCTCATGTGACTGAAAGTGAGCCCCCGTGGCACTAAACTCTGTGTCTGCTTGGCTGAATTTACTGAAAGAGTCCCTTTCACTGCACCTTTAAAATAGAGGCATGACAGGTTCCAGAGGTGAGGGCTAAAAAAAATGACAGGCACAGAGGTCATCGGGGTTGAATCATTGTCACACTTGTGAATACCACGTGACGTAACATGAAAGGTTTAAAACAAGCATTATTAAAGTTGAAGTTGAAGTCACCCAAAAATGAAAATGATGTCAATAATGACTTTTGACTATTTTTCAAAACGGCAGTGCCCAACACCCCCCACCCCCCCCCTTTTTTTTATAATTGTATTAAAAAAAAAATGAAATAATATATAGTTTATAGTTTAAAATAACAAATAGCTTAAAGAGGATTTATGGCTTTCATTTTCAATACACCAGGAAAATTATAATACAACAGATGCAAAGTTTGTGAAACATGGTTTTGAAGTGTCACTAATTCACAAGATAATAATTGGTTCATCTACATCATGGAAGAATGGTGACATACTGTTACTGTCATTTCAAAACACGCAAGGATCTCACAATCCACACATTGCACACAAGTGTCAAGGCAGAATATAGCTAAAGCACCGAACAACACGTGACTGCCACCTACAGGTTAACTGGGTAGACACATGGTGTCATCATATAATATTTTGTGGCACTCACCCTCCCACAGCAGCAGGCTCTGAGGTGCCACAGACGGCCAGATGACCAGGTTATTGGGCTCGTACAGCGGGTTGAGAAATCGCTCCAGCTCCTGAGGACGGTTCACCCATGACCACAGTGACACGGTTTTCTGAGACAGCTGCAACTTCACTCTGAAACATTACACAGAAAGCACTAAGTTTACATTTACACCCAAACTTTACAGTAAAGTTTATGTTATGAGGAGCCAGACACATCCGGCCATTGCCATCCGTTATCTCAAATAAGCAAACAAAAAGCCTTTCACCAATCTACACTTCAAGCTTAACCCTAACATTCATAAACATTTTGAGCTTCTGAATCTTACATAAATAGTCAGTACTCATATATCACAAATAAATAACCTTTCAGTGAAAAGCCCCTTTTCTTTGCGTTTTCTTTCACTTTACAAATCTAAACAATCTGTATTCACTAAAGAATCTTTTGTGGAATATAAAGGTTATATATCTTTGTGGAACTAAACCCAAACCAAATCAAAATGAAACCTATCCTCTGGAGTTTAAAGGCCACATTTATGTCATCACACACATTACACACTGTTCATTGTCAGTAAATGGCTGTACCAAATATGGACATTTTGAAATGTGATGCACATTTTAGCAATGAGAGAAAAAAACATTGCACAACACATTTACAAAAACATCCTGCTCAGAATAAGAAACAAACACAAAAGGTTCACGGCCAGCTACAAGCTGACCTCTGCGGACGTAGGAGTGTTGACAGAAGAGGTCATGACCTCTGCTCCTGAACGTATCTTTCCATATGGATAGAATTACAACCTGCCAACCTAAATGTGTAAACAGTAGTAAACAGAGTGTACTTGGAAACGTCAAGTGCAAAATATTCTGAATGTCAACCCTAACAGTTCTCCTCTGAATCCACACTTTGGAGATGGGTCACAGAATCATAAAATGAGTTTGGCGTTTGGGACAGGGCCTGTGTTGGCTAGAACGAAATTAGGGGTGATGTATCTGGGATTGTAGAAACAAGTAAGTTTTTACAAGATGGTTATATGTGATGTAATGGAGGAAATGAGATGTATGTGAGAATCTGCACCATATTTTCCGCACTATAAGTTGCACTGAAAAGTTCTCAAAAAACGACAGTGCGCCTTATAATCCGGAGCGCCTTATAGACCATTTCACAAGATGTAAACAAGACTGGTCCAGAAGCACTTCCTGTTTCAGTTTGTAACCGTTTTCTTTATTTCACATGTAAAGAAAACATCTTAAAGATGTTTGTTTAACTTTTTGATTCAGTTTTATATGTTCTGTTGGTTGTATTTTATCCCAGCTTTTATGTAGTGTTAAAAAACTGAAACAGGAAGTGCTTCTGGACCAGTGTTGTTTACATCTTGTGAAATGGTCTATATATGGATCAATAGGTTAATAACGCTCTGCGTTATTAAATTCACCCGTGAACTCGCGCTCGTGTCCATCTTACGCCCGCTCTGTCATACGGCCAGTTCAACCTCGTATAAATCAGGTTATGTGTGTAAGGCCCCATTTACACGAAGGGAAAACGCAGATATTTCCCTCCGGTTTGGCCTCTCGTTTACACGAAAACCCTGTTTTTATCACAGAAAACGATTATTTCAAAAACCTTCGGCCAAAGTGGAGATTTCTGAAATTTTTTAGGTTCTCTCTTATCGATTCTGAGGATTCTGATTGGCTTGCTCCCTACTCTGCCGCCAATAGGTATGGCATCGTCATGATGGCGCTCGACGCCGTACCTATGCGGGTGTGTGAACGATGTTAGTTTTGAAAACGGACATGGGGAAAATATTCGTTTCGCTAAATACCCGACTTTGTGTAAACGTGGCCTAAGTCACGTTCCCGCTCACGAGTGCTCACTCTTACTAACAGACACACGGCGCTGCTCGCGCATCACAGAATGTTCATAAAGCGCTCCCCGTTCAACCGGGTCGTCTCATTCAAAACAGCCAGCTGTTGCTGTCAGAGAGCCACCGCACATTGAATACTCATATGAGTCAGGCTGCGAATGTAAGTTACGTGCCCGCCCCAGCGCACTCACACTAATAAACGCCTCCGGCGCCTCACACTCGCTGCATTCCCTTTAGCACATCTAGTGGATGCATAACGCAAACCCAGTCAAACGTGTGGCCGCAGTATCTTATGCACCTTATAATCCGGTGCGCCCTATATATGAAAAATGTTCTAAAATAGGTCATTCATTAAAGGTGCGCCTTATAATCCGGTGTGCCTTATAGTGCGGAAAATACGGAACACTAACCTTTCGGCCACTGTGTTTCCAAGGAAAGTGCCAAACTGTGAGGCATAGGTGTGCTCAAAGAGCATGATCAGGAAATTCTCATTGAACTGGAAGGAGCAGGGGAATTGCCGCAGGATCTGCCACACACAGTCCAGGAAGAGCAGGAACACGGGCGCTTCACTTCGAGGCTTCCCGTTTGAGAATGCAGACTGCGCACAGCGCTGCTGGAATGGGTGACCGGCCTGGAGATAAAGGATTTCATACATTACAGATGTATAATCATTTTTTGTAAAATAAAACCCACAAAATTCCACACCCTAGTTCCCTTGTTAATCAGTATATCATTGAATTCAGCAGTAGCAAAGGTGTGCATTCTCTACACACTGATATTCCACTATATAATAAGACGTTGCATACATACAGTAATATTATGAAATGCATACTTGTACTACAATTTTTTATTAAGAAAAACATGACTGGAAAAACTGGACGAACTGGTTGAGGAATAATCACTCCTCGAGAAGACAAAGGACCTTGCTAGAAATTGTCATTTGAACTCACCATTTGAGACAAAAGTATCACCTACCTAACCAACAATTCTTCGCCTCATCCCCCACTCGTTCTATCACCAAAACTCAGACAAGAATGGTTTAATGTGAATGATTATGATCGAGTATTATACATGTTTAGTATCATTTGAAATGTCTCATTTTCAAACAAGTCAAACAGAAGGTAATAAGGTTTTTAAGAGTTTAGAGATAACACACACAGAGTGTGTGAAGGTTAGTGTGAGAGAGTGGGAAGGTTAAACCCTCCTGAATGTAATTTAAGTTATGTGCCCGCGAATGTAAGTGTACATGTACATTTACATGTACATTTTAAAAGACGTCAGTCGATCAGCTTTACTTCAGCCAAAATGTATTTTGTTGGCCAACCCGTGATCACTCACATACACGTATAAAGGAAGTTAGAACCAAAACAGAGGTATTTCAGACACACCCGAATCCAAGCTGATCAAACAGCATTTGCCGTTACTTAGATGGGAATAACTTGTCTCTGCACCCAAGCACGCTTGAAGCGATTTCGGATATTAGTCTTTACTACCGAATAAAATCAAATGTTTACAATTTATTGACCAGGTAAAGAAGCAATAATTCAAAATCCAATTCATAATATCATATCATAACAACAATTCAGAAATCAAGGAATTTGGAGAAGTTATTACCTGGCAATGAGAATTTCACACAGTGGTTGTGTGGCAGTCAACCTAAAGACTCCCTGAACTTTTCTGCTCCTTTACCTTATAAACCAATATAGTCAATATTCTTTACCAAATGGTCTTTTCTGTCATTATAATTAGCTTTCGGTCCCCTCTAGATGGGTTCACAGCTTGAATGGGTTTTTGTTTTACATACAGAAGGTAGATTGAATGGGGGATCCGGGGGAGGAAACACCTTCAAGGGACACATCACTTTTTGTCATACTTTATAACTTATTTTTAGCCTTTCATCATAGTTGGGAGAATGAGACCATTTTACCAGGCACAGTGAGACACTTAAAATGAGACCAAACATAGTTACTTTTTTTTACACACATAATATTGCTTGGGTTTTAGTGAGTTCTGGGTGAGGAGGAGAAGAAGGGGAGCAGGGGGATGTAATGAGACTGTAAGAGTAAGGTGTGAACTCCACTGTGTGTTATGTCACGGATGTTGCTGTTACATATGCAAGAGGGAGCTTAAATGTTAATTCTCAGGAGAGTCTTTTGCTCTCTCAAGTACCCCTTTCCACCAAAGCAATTTGAGAGCTGGTTCAGAGCCGGTGTCTACGCGCGAACCAGTTCTTTGTGTTTCAACAGCCAAAGAACAGGTTCTCGGCCAGGAAAACTGGTTCCAAAGCGGCACCAACTCTTTGCTGGAGTAGAACCGTTCTTTTACCACGTCATGCTTACGTCGGGGGCTGGGACGGGTTTAGACCATCGCAAAGCCAGGAGAAAAATTTGCAGAAACACGATGGAGTCTGCCTTCGTAATTGTTATGCTTGAAGTTAACGCAAGCGTTTTTTGTTGAAAACATTATAAGCAAAAAAGAAAACAGTCACAATCTAGAATAAATAAATGGAAAGAAAAAAATACACAAGACGGGGGTACGTAACTAATCAGAAAAGATTACATATCAAAAGAAAAGATAAAAAGACTTACATATTTCAATTGTTTTTAAAGCCTTCTTGGTAGGCCTACACAAGTTAGAGATAATCCCAAAGTAATGTTGTACTTGCAAGCGTTTCTAGCTAAGACGTATGGTGGCGTACACAGTGACGTAACAACGTCGTTCCCTGGGCGCTCTAGTCAGTGGAAAAACAAACAGGTTCTGGAAGGGTTTGCAAGTTGAACCAACTTTGAACCAGCACCAGTTCACAACCAGTTCTTTTTTGGTGGAAAAGGGGTAAAGGGGGATGTTCAGATGACCTGGCACCTGGCTTACAATATATTTAAAAGACTGAATATAAATGTACACTTACGCTCATTCTCTGTGTATACATATAGTGTATAGCCAGTAATCCACAATTTTTTCAGTGCATTCAGAGAATTTCAATGGAGAGAGCTAGAATGATTTTGACAGTGGGACAGCCTCAGAAATGGCCGACCCCTGGGGAACTAGGGAGCAGATTGAAACAAATCAGGCACATCTAAATGAAAGAGTTTTCCTGGTAACCTCTCTCACCTGTAACCACTCTCGCTCGATCAGCGCCTCAAAGCCACGGATGGTTCTGCATGCCGGATCGAGGATGATCTGGGCGAGAGACGTCACCTGCAGTGTTGAATCAGTTCCCTCCGTGCCATGAACCAGAACTGACGCCCCTTCCCTGCAAAACACCACAAATAACACATATTATACATTATGAAAATGACTTAAGAGAGAAAAGAAAATCATTTTAGCTGTGATTTTTGAGATGTTAAGCACTTCCACTGCTCCCAGTTTGAAATTGCACTCAGTTTGAGATTATTTAGCACACACATTGTGCTACAAACCTGATAATGAACTGCATGCCAAAAAAGCATTTAAAACAGCAGTACTGGTGGTATAAACATAATGATCATTACAGCATGACAACAGCAGTAATTAACACCACAACAAGCTTTGCAACAAATGTGGTGCGAAATAGGGCGGCAACAGCTTTTGTAATTAACTTAGAACAGAGCTAAAACAGTAATTAACACAGCTGCACAGTATGGCATAAGCCGGTCTGTCTGTGGTGTAATGGGTCTGTGACAGGAGCAGACAGACGTATCAACAGATGTACCTGTCAATGCACTGTGCAGCCAGGCAGGCCGTGGTGAGGATTTCCTTGACATGACTCTGCCAGTTGGAGGCTTCAAGTTTACTGAGCCAGCGGTCCATGCTGTGAGACTGATCATTGCACGCCTCCACCAGCTTTATCAGACTCTCCTGCAGAACATTAGACCTGTGGGAGAACAGCTGTCAGATTACAGTATAGTCCCAGTTACAGAACTCATTTGTGCATCTGTGTTTGCCTGCTCGCAAACGATATGCTTCAGCTCTGAATTGGCATTTTAGCTGCAGCTTCAGCCATATGCCTAAAATATTTTAACTAACAAGTCCCCTGATCAATGTACAGTCTATGATGGTCTAAAGTTTGTTCATTGACTGTCTGAATGATCACATAATAGAGAAGTACTTGGGTAAAGTCTAATCTGACTGGCTGACTGTGTAACTTTATCAGTACCTGGAAACCAAAATGAGTGCTTATGAAATGGTCACTGGATTTGCCAAAGTTTGTCATCAAAGTTAAAACTGCGATGAAATGGGAGAGAAGATTGAGTTATGTTTTAGATTATGCATAATTTACAACGTCAATTCAAAACAAGAAAAATAGACCTTATTGTGAACGATTTGCCCATGTACAACATACATTTACAAAATAGCTGTAAAAATTATGAATTTGGAAGTATTGTTCATTTTTAGACTGCCAATTTCAACATTTTTTTTTTTTTTTTAATTTTGAAGTTGTATCTGTAAACATTACAATAGTTAATGCACTATGAACTAACCTGAATGACACAAGTATAATTAATATACAAGTATATAATATTGATCTTCATATTTAAATATTTATTTAATTTAATTAATAAGTTCAGTACATTTTTGGTACATTTTGTAATAAAGTTCAGCACTAGTTTACTTGGAGTATTTTGTTTGTTGTTTTAGTTATTAAGAGCCAGTGCAGTCCAACCAAGTTATTGTTATATGTAAATCTCTAGTTGACGGGATTGGTTACATGGTTTGTGATGTTGTAGGAAATGGGTAGTTTAAAGATAAATTTACATATGGTTTGTCTTAAAGCATATTAAAAACACCACATTGACAAATAAACAACATTAAAAACTTGATTTTTACCACAGGGGGTCTTGTGGCAAATCTCAAAATAAATATACATTTTTCATACTTAACATTATAATGTTGTGGTCTAAATTTACTTCTAACTTTATAATGCATGTATGGAAGAGAGAGGCCGCACTTTGCATATACAGTTTTATTATACACAAACGCGTTTCGGCGCGTGCCTTCTTCAGTGTGCACACTGGAGAAGGCACGCGCCGAAACGCGTTTGTGTATAATAAAACTGTATATGCAAAGTGCGGCCTCTCTCTTCCATACATGCATTGTCATTATTAGGCCAGCACTCTTAAAACAATTTGAGGTATAAACGTTGAGTGAAGCCTGCTCCAACCTCCATTTATTCTTCTAACTTTATAAACTATTACTTTTTATTTTTTTTTACATTTATTTGGTTAAAATAGTATTACATTTTAATATTAGTCATAAAATGAAAATGATTATCAGCCAGAATATTAAAGTTATGCATCTCTATTCTCTACTATGGAGTTAGGATGGCTCGGCGGGAATAATTGGATACACACCTCTCAATGGCTTTATGGATCCTCCTCCATTGCGGGTAGTTGGCTTCCTGTTCAAATCCTCCTCCGCGGGCTTTAGCCTGCTGCGCTACCGCTATAGTCCGTGTGTCGATGATGTAACCACGCTTCCCTGCGCAAAGCGTGGCATTGATCAGTTTCTCGTCTTCTTTGCAGCGGCGCCCATTGGTTCCTGTTAGTGGCTGCGCTGATCGCATCATAACCTGTGGACAGCAAGATAAGATTGAGTCTGAATTAAATAGATAAAAAATTGGAAAAAAACATTTTCAAAGTGCATTTCTAACCATGCCGTTTTTCTTGTGGTAGTAACTGAGCATAGGGAAGCGGCCACCGTGGCGGAAGGAAGCAGCTTTGCAGAGACTTTCATCATCGATGTCTTTGGGCACGGTCAGTAGGGACGGGTATGAGGGGCACACGCTGAAGTCTTTATTGACCTCACTCAGTCTCCATTCATCTGTCTGAGAGAGGACCAGAGAGCTCAGGGTCACCTTTACAATTTATACAGGTGATTTATAAATCAAAATAACACAAATCAAAAACAGAAAACCTAATTCTAACATTCTGATTGTAAACTAATAGGGGTTTAGAATAAGCTGACATACACTACAATACCCTTCAAAAGTTTAAAGTCAATGAGATGAGAAATTAATACTTTTACTCAGCAAGAATACATTTAACTGATCAAAAGTGACACACTTTTATAATGTTACAATGATTTCTATTTCAAATAGAAGTTATTTTGAACATTCTATTCATAAAAGAATCCTTAAAACAATTTCAAAGTTTCCACTAAACTATTAAACAGAAGGATCATGTGACACAGTGAAGATTGGAGTAATGATGCTGAAAATTCAGCTTCGCCATCATATGAATATTACATTTAACAACCTTTTAAAACAGATCATTTAAATTGTAATAGCCATTGACTTCCATAGTATGGAAAAAACGTATGGAAAAAATGTCAAGGAAGTCAATGTATGCCGTCAACTGTCTGGTTATCAACATTCTTTAAAATATCTTCTTCAGCAGAAGAAACTCATACAGGTCTGGAATAACTTGAGGGTGAGTAAATGATGACAGAATTTTCCTTTTTGGGTGATATATCCTTTACAGTTTTTTTTAATCGCTAACATGCACTTACCCATACTTCAGATACTTTTCTAAACTTTTATGTTTCAGTTTTTTTTTTCACCTCTTACTGCACCTCTCACTACTCCTGCACCTCTCACTACTCCTAAACCTCTCACTGCACCTCTCACTACTCCTAAACCTCTCACTGCACCTCTCACTACTCCTGCACCTCTCACTACTCCTAAACCTCTCACTGCTCCTGCACCTCTCACTACTCCTAAACCTCTCACTGCACCTCTCACTACTCCTAAACCTCTCACTGCACCTCTCACTACTCCTAAACCTCTCACTGCACCTCTCACTACTCCTGCACCTCTCACTACTCCTAAACCTCTCACTGCTCCTGCACCTCTCACTACTCCTAAACCTCTCACTGCACCTCTCACTACTCCTGAACCTCTCACTGCTCCTGCACATCTTACTGCATCTCTCACTGCACCTCTCACTCCACCTCTCACTGCATCTCTCACTGCACCTCTCACTGCATTTCTCATTGCACCTCTCACTGCATCTCTCACTGAACCTCTCACAGCTACTGCATTTCTCATTGCACCTCTCACTGCATCTCTCACTGCACCTCTCACTGCATCTCTCACTCCACCTCTCACTGCACCTCTCACTGCATCTCTCACTCCACCTCTCACTGCATCTCTCACTCCACCTCTCACTGCATCTCTCACTGTACCTCTCACTGAACCTCTCACAGCTACTGCATTTCTCATTGCACCTCTCACTGCATCTCTCACTGCACCTTTCACTGCACCTTTCACTCCACCTCTCACTGCACCTCTCACTACTCCTGAACCTCTCACTGCATCTCTCATTGCATCCCTCACTGCACCTCTCACTCCATCTCTTTCTGCTCCAGTCACTGCACCAGTCACTGCATCTCTCACTGCATCCCTCACTGCATCTCTCACTGCACCTCACACAGCACCTCTCACAGCTACTGCATCTCTCATTGCACCTTTCACTCCACCTCTCACTGCTACTGCACTTCTCACTCCATCTCTTTCTGCTTCTGTCACTGCACCTCTCACTACTCCTGAACCTCTCACTGCTCCTGAGGTGCAGGAGAATTGAAAGATGCAGTGAGAGATGCAGTGAGAGGTGCAGTGAGAGATGCAGGTGCAGTAAGAGGTGCAGTGAAATGTGTGATAGCCACAAAAGACAGATGCTGTGCTAATTGTGTTTAGAGTTTTGAAAATGTGACAACTGGTTGGACAAACGCTTGTTAGTGACTGAAAAAAGGGGAATATTCAACAATATTATTGATTTGACTGAACTGACACTATTTGATGCAAACTGAACTGAGCTGGACGACGACATCAATGTTTTTCTCTATAGATAAAAATTAACTAATTTAATAACTGATAATCAACACTGAACTGACTAGAGATGAACAATGACACTATTTTCTTTTAGAGCTGCTGTAGAGCCGAAATGAGCTGTTTGCATCATAGAATCATTTTCCTGTTATCATTGTGTTGCTGCTTTTGTGCTTTTTTTTTTTGCTTTCTGCTCTGTATTGTATTTCATATATAAATAAAGATGACTTGATAAAGCAGCATTAAGAGTCTTCTTTCAAAAAACTTACCGACCCTACTATGGGTCAACTTTTAAGGGTAGTGTATGAAATACTAGCTGTATTTATTTTAAAATTGGATCTCAGAACATGTAATTATGAGTATCTGTTCCATAGCTTCCCATAAAGAACAATCAAAAACGAACAATGATACACTGAGAAAATGTATCACATTTTTTTTTTTCTGATGACCTCAGTGTCAAGGCTTCCAGGGATAAAACAATACCATAGACTCCAGATCTTTGAAAGCCTCCTCTGGTATGAACAACTGCCATCCATCCTCAATGACCTCAAACAGAGGACGGTAGAAGAAGGGATACATCAGGGACACAGAGTCCAGTGTGGACAGAGCCTGAAAGATGAACCATCATAACCTGAACACTAACAGCATAAAATGATGAGTAGAAATTAGTAGTTCCTCAGGTTATTTCTATCCATTATTATTATTCTGTATTCATATCTACTGCTTACATTAATGTTGTCTTTTCTTAGTCTTCATGAATGTGTTACCGTTGTTCCCTGAAGGAACTGTGTTTCGTTTTTTTTTTTTTTTATTGCCATGCAATGTGCTAAAAATGACAATAAATTCGACTTTGACTTTATGAGTGAGTACAAATGAAGTCTTACCTCAATTGAGCTGGCAATATTAAGACACTCCTCCATGCCAGGTATGTCCAGCTGAATCACCCGCAGGTCTTTACACTTTACAATAATAGTTCCCAAGGATCCAACAAACCTACACACATTAGGTCAGACTTTTAAACGTTTTTAGTCTCTTATGCTCACCGTGGCTGCATTTATTTGAGTAAAAACAGTAATATTGTTAAATAATATTACATGAGTTTCTGTTTTCTATTGAACTAAAAAGAAGATATTTTTGAAGAATGCTGGTTATCAAGTATCAACATTCAAAAGATCTTCTTTTGTGTGCAACGGAAGAAAGAAAATCATTTGGAACAACATGAGGGTGAATACATGATGACAGAATTTAAATTTTTGGGTGAACTATCCCTTTCAGATAACCTTTTGCTATGTCAGTGATACCTTTTCTCAATAGAGTCAATGTTGGTATGAAGCAGCCAGAGCTCCTCAGTGTTATCCTGGCGAGAGGACAAAATGAGGTGATGTCCCGTCAGACACAGAGTTCCCTCCACAGTGGGCATGAAGGGTCGGTGGAGGACCACCCCATCCGCACGAGGGGTTTTGATCAGCTCAGCAAACTCCATGATATTTTGAGAGGGACAAGAAACCTGGGAGAGTCAAATGGGGCATGAAACAGTGATGAATACTGTAATGCATTTGCAATACATTCATTACGTCTAAGATTATTATTATTATTTTGTGTTGTGTGATTAATTAGCATATATTTAGTTAGTTCTATGTATATATACCATTCTTTTTTTTATTTAGCTAAGATGTGTCTGCACTGTTGATTAAGAGTTTTGTTTTTTATGTCTTGTAGAGGTGGATTTTTTTATCTAACGTTACTGCAGGCTCCAAAACAAGACAAGCAAAGAGACAGCAGTAAGAAAAATAACACATTCGTCTATTTAACTTAAAGGAGCATAAATAAGACATATATATTTCTTTATAAACAGTTATTGTAACATCTACAATGTATCTGTACACATTTCTCTCGGCTCGCTGTGTCATCATTCTATGGTCATCACACTGAAAATGTGACAACAAACGTCACGGGATTTGCAGCTGAGTCGCTCGTCCTAAAATTGTTCAAAGGCACTCGACAGAAAACTGTAAATGCAATGTAACGATATCTTGTCAAGAACAAAATGTGCATTATAAACATATACTTAGATTAGATGACAGCGATAACAACAACATTCCTCTCACCAACACTTCCTTGTCGTCCACTCCTTTGTTGGATCTGACAACAGACCGCAAGCAAATTTGAAGCAATATCGCCACCTACTGGTTGGGGTGACCACGAGGGAGAATGAGAATATAAAAAAGATATGAGAGCTGGATAATCCTATTCTCGCTAAACAATAAAAGCAATTGAGGGATTATTAATATATATATATATATATATATATATATATATATATATATATATATATATATATATATATATATATATATATATATATATATATATATATATATATATATATATATATATAACAATTTGCAAGTAGGTCTATAAATTACAAAATAATTATATAAATATAATTTTAGTGTTCTCTTCAGGTTTATTAGAAATATATTGACTTCACCAAAAAGACACGATCACAAACGAACACCATAACAAGTTAAACAATGTTATACACAATAGAAGAGATTAGGAACAAGTTTTGGGAGCATTAGGAACATTTGTGGAACTGAACAAACAGTATATATATTGTGGAGTATATATATAACAGTATATATATATATATATATATATATATATATATATATATTGTGGATTGAAAATTCATTTTGTAGTGTGAAATTATTATATGTTCACCAGTGTATTACGTCTAAAAAATTTTAAAAAACTAGATCTAAAATTATGTTTTATTAATAAAAATCGGGAGAAGCACGTTCAGATAATTAACACGGGTGGAGAGCACTTAGTAATCATGATTAAAACATGTATAGACTCAGCAGTCCCACCTTTCTCTGACAATTTAGTAGCATCCCTCCCTCCACCACCCCTTCTCCACTCTTCTAGTCATAAACCACTTCTCCACTTTACATACAGGGGGAGTACACTGGGTTCGGTCCGAATTCCGAGCTCGGAACCCTCCCCCAGGCGAGCACGCCAAATACGCATTATACTTTATTGTCTTTAACTGTATGAAAGTGTAAACTTGTGAAATATTATCATAATAAATCAGTTTCTCATAATCTTCATGCAACGGACTGTTTTTCTCTCTGTGATATCTTGGAACTGTATTATAAAATTGTACTGTACTATAATTTCACAAAGGTTTAATGGGGTTATTCCAGCCCGTTCTCATTCCAAGGCGTCATATATGACATTTCGTCTCCAGCCAACACACATGGCACCCTTTAGTGAGACGCAGATATGGGCCAGAAGGCGCCTCCTAGTGGTCTAACCCTAAACCTACCCATAGAACTAAACCTACCATAACCGAACAAAGCTCTGTGCGTGTTATATTGACGCTAAAGGGTGCCGTGTGTTGGATTTAGACGAAATTTCAAAAGTGTCACTATATGACGCCCTTGGATGAGAACGCGGCGCAGGTTATTCTAAAATAAAATAAATAAATAAAATAAAATAAAAAATGTTTCTGCACAACTCTACAGGATAAGTGTTTTGGAGAATGGACGGATTGAAAATTCTATTATATATCTTGGCTCCATTATTTTACTGCATTATATTATTTCAAGCATCTTTGACAGATTTGCAGCATTTACTGTTGACTTAGAGATGTTTTCAGTGAAGTGTGTGTGTCAGTGTGTGTGTGTGTGTGTGCGCAAGTGCACCTGTATGAATCTATACAACAGCTCCTACTGTAGTCATAGCAGAATCCTGCTGGGAGCAGAGTGGCCTCCTGTTGAGGAGGAAGATGAGAGTGTCTTGAGCACTGTGAGCGATTACAGTCACTGCATTATTTAGCTTGCGTTACATGTGTGCCATGAACCCTACACTCCCCCCAAAAATATGCAGCTCCATTTGCTCTCATTAAAAATGCATGCTGTTTGTGTGTGTGAAAAAAAACTCCCCTGACTAAGAGCTGATATTTTTGCAATTGTAACTCGAGCGTTGTGGAGCCAGGCACACCTAAGCATACATATTCATATCATGTTATATCAAGCACAAAATGTTGTAATATTTTATATAACAGTGAAGACCTGCTTAGGGCATATGATATGGAATGATTATCTGTTTGAATGGCAAAATATACGATTATCCTGATTACTGGTCCTAATATTGTTAAACTGCATCGTAGCATTGCAAGATGTAGCATCTCAATCCTTACACCGCATGAAAACAGAAAGCTTTAAAAACAAAGAACTGCTTTTGTCATTTGCCATGTGATCTGAAACAATTGTCTGTTATCATTGTGTGTGTCACCAAAGACCATAAAGACAGAATGACAGTCCAAAAGAGACGATTTCTCTCTTCTTCAGGCCACTTTGATAGTGCCTTTTTACATTAGTGGCTGAGCTATGCAGCTTATGCCATCATCAAACATTCCTGTGAAGTTCCATCGGCTCTGAAACCCAGAGGAGTCACTGACGCTGAGCTCTAATTTAAGAACTTCACACCAGACCTGCAGCACTGTGCAAACTCAAAGTCACTGCATTCATGAATGATTTCCTTGGGTACAGGAATCATTTGTGCATGCTAGATGAGGCAGCATCTACTTACTTTCTTAAGTATTCACATCAAATGACAATTGCAGACTTAAACCAATGAGTTGGCACAGGAATGTCATTCACTTGATCATAAAAAAAATGATGATTACTGTAATGCCAGTGCGAGCCTGTTGGCAGCCATAGTGTGAGATCATCTTATTAATGTAACACAGTGACACTGTCTTAATCCTGGTAATCTTCCCTGCTGCTTCCACAGGTGTTGAGGATTTACAAAGGCTTGTGGGAGGGTGAGACGTTGTGGTGGCATCGGGCAACAGTATTGGGCACTTCTTAGCTGGCAGACAAAACATGCTTTGTTTTGTAATCAGAGCTCAAGCGCAATGTGGTGTGGTTTAGGATAACAGAAATGCTTTGGCAAAGTTTTATTTCCCTATCGTTTGCTCCATCTCACTTGAGTTTGACACTTGGAAGAAACCTGAAACAAGGCATTGAGAAATAGCCGATCTCAGCGTTCAGACGGGCTGCTGATGCCATGGGTTTTCAAAGAATAAAAGGCTGAAGTTAGGAGTCAAACAAATAGTAGGCTATGTGGTTTTCAGCTGTTTGGGAATAGATTAGTGAGACCAACGTGGAGAAAAGTCACAGTTTCAGTTCTGCCTAAAGGGTCTTGTTTGCCGTTTCTAATGTTTTGTTTTGACATTAGAATGTTTTTCTATAAGCATGACATTCATTTTTTTTTTGTCAGATCACTAGTAAAAATGTAACTGTGAATCCATCTTGTTTGTGAACAATGACACAAGGACTTTTCTGATGGCACTGATATGTTCATTGGCATAAAAACTTACTTTTACTGTAAGAGATGAACTATATTCTGAGTATGTTACATGGCTTTTGCAGGTAATCTATGTGTGGTGATTTGAGAAATGCACCAAAGCGACTGAGAAAAACTGTAATTAGATGGTTGTGATTTGATCAAAAATTTAAAATGTTGAACTCTTCTTGCTTTTTTTCAGCAGTGTTGACATTAGTCAATAAGACAACTACAGTTTTTCTCAGTCGCTTTGGTGCGTTTCAACAGTTAGTTCAACCTCCTGAACATTTTGTCATTTGTGCACATCATAGCAGTTTCTCATTCCTTCCAACAAATTGCAAATGCTTTTGGACATGCATCAATTGCTTTCATACAACTCACTGCTGTTTTATAACATTATCATTTGCTTATGTCATATCAGTCCAAATTAAATATACTTGTGAATGCTGAAGTCACACAATGACCCATACCCCTTGATGATTTTTTAAAAATTTAAATTCGAGAAGACTTAAAATGTCATTTATTCCAATAATAAATATAATCTTATTTTATCTTATCATCTTTTCTTATCATGTCTTATCTTATCTTATTGTATTTAATTGTAGCCTATGTTTTATTATGCATATAGCCCCCCTTTACTGTAAAAAATGTATATCAATATTTATTTCATTAGACATTGGATCTTGATCATCTCGGAAGTCATGATGCACCGAGGAGGAGGATGTGAATGGCAGCCAGCAAAGCCTATGTGATTGTGTTTTTCCACCTGATGATGAGTTTTCCATAAGATCGTGGATCTCTTCTTGAAAGAGTGAGCTCATAGGCTACTTCATTACATCATTCAGCAAACCCAGTCCTGGACTGTTGAGTCGAGCACTAGGTGGCATCCTCGATGAGTAAGCATCTCTCTCTCTTTCTCCAGTCCAGACATCCAGTCAGTGGCGTCGGGTGTCTCAGGGAACAGTCCCTCGCTCGCTCGCTCCCTGTGCGGGGATGCTGCGAGCACAATGTGCAGGTGACAAGATCCCGATTCCAGGAGTTCGTCTCTGACCTGTGCCGGTTCGAGGACGAGTTCAGCGCTGACTTCACTGTCCGGAGCGTCGCAGGAGGAGGATGCTCTGCCTCTCTGGCGTCACCGTCACCCCACAACTCCATGGCTACCTCATTTGGGGTACTCTGGAGAAACAGGTGTCGGGGAAGTGACGTCAAGAGCCTCGGAAACCGGAGGTGTGCGCTTTGGAGAGCAAGATGGCAGCGAAATCCGACGGTCGGGGGGTCGTCACCGGTTTCGCCCAGCTGCACAACCTGGATGATACGGCGGGAAGCTGTGAGGACGACCCGCGGCAGAACAGCTCCTTCCACATCTGCCACTGCTGCAACACCTCGTCGTGCTACTGGGGCTGCCGGAGCGCCTGTCTGCATTACCTCTTGGGCAAGGGGAGAGACGTCAGGCGGCCACCTCACGAGGAGGAGCGCCTGTGGTTGGACTGCCTGTGGATCGTTCTCGCGCTGCTCGTCTTCTTCTGGGACGTGGGTACTGACTTATGGCTCGCGCTCGACTACTACGTCAAGCAGGACTACCTCTGGTGTGGACTCACACTGTTCTTCGTGCTGGTGCCGTCGGTGCTGGTCCAGATCCTGAGCTTCAGGTGGTTCGTGCAGGATTACACGGGGGGCGGCTTGGGCTCCGTGGAGGGTCTCAGCAGCAGCCGAAGGGCCACGTCTGGCACGAGCGCAGGGGTGTACGGCAGGGCCAGATGCTGTCGCGTCTCGGTGTGGGTCTGGCAGACGCTCATACACATCCTTCAGATGGGACAAGTGTGGAGGTAAGCGTCCCGCGTTCACCTGGTATAACCCGTGCAGACAGAGCGGATCACTCGAAGCATGTGCTTTTCTGTGAATGAACATCATGCTCAGGTAAAACATGTGCCATTCATTCGTATGTGCGAAAGTGCATTACTGAGGTGAGTCTCGGTGCATCTGAGGATTCATTCTCCCTCCCTGACTGCTCAACTCTCTCAGACCACTTGGCGAGACGGCCATCGGGTTTTTACAGGCTCCCTCAGGAACGACATCCCTCCTTCCCACGCTCGATACCATCGACACAATTTGCGTTCCTTGATCCTTAATAGTGCATCTCACTGAATCATTATCATCATAGGTGCAGTGCATTATAATGCCAGTCAGTCAGCACAGCGTGTGCGTCTCGAGTGTGGAATAGTTCTGGCGCGTGCGGGGAATATCGTCCGTGACATATTGTACTTAATGTCTGATCCACTAGAAATGATGCGACAGTTTTCCCGCAGCAGACAGACGCAGTGGCCGCATTCACGCGTATGGGGAGGCGTGCAGTTTTGCCAGGCGATTTAGCTTGATTTCGATGCCATTCATTATTCATGTTTGCTTGTGTTCGTGCTTTCTGCTCTTTACGACGTGATTATTGCTGAAAGATGAAGTCCTGTGATCAGTGTCTCACAATTGTCATGATGTCATCGCTTTAAAGGTGTTACAGCATCTCACGCGCTCTCTCTCTCCCTCTGCGTGTGTGTGCAAAATAAATTCCCTCTCATCTTTCATATAGTCACGAAACGGCAGTTGATATTGCCTAGGCTATATGTAATGCAAATGTAGTTAAATCTTGAAAGCCTTATGAAATGCTCATTTACAGTACAAGTTAAAAAAATATTCCCCCAAATTCCCAAACTGGGAGTCCCAATGTAAGATTTTATGAAGATGTATATATTATGTTTATTATATTGTTTAATGCGACCATTTGCGTTACACTGGAATCTAGAACTGACCCCATAATTCCGCCTGCTCACGTTGATTTTCTGAGGTTGCTATGCAACCAGTTGTACTGGCTACTAGTTTAAAGCTTTTTTGCTCGCGCGTCCTTTCTTTCTTTTTATAGTTTATATAGCTAGGTCTAGTCTTTATATAGCTAGATATAGTAGGATATGCACAAATCAGTATTTTAATAATTTCAGATGTTAGAATACTCGAGTGTCGAACAACACTGAGATTGTGAAGTAGCCATATGGACCCTTAGCTATCCCATAATGCCACATGTGCAAGCACCATTTTCATAAAGTTGAAAAATAAAAAAGGCAGTGGGCTGTGAAGCTCTTTTTTGAAGTGCTATAGGTGCTAAGGCAGTTGTCCCACAAATAGCAATAACTTGCACCGATATAAACATTTTGACCAATAATTCTTTATATTTAAAGGCAGGTTGGCCTAACCAATAGGCTATATTGGCCAATAAATCTAAATCCAAATTTTTATATAATTTGTGTGAGCCGGATTACAAGAACAAAAGTCTTCTGTTAAAAGCCATGTCCCAATCTCATTATAATTTTATAGACTTGTGCTGCACATGTTGCACTTAACTGCAACTTTCGTTTTTTTTTTTTTTTAAGTGATTTTAATCATATTTCAAGCAATTCAAAACCATTGAACAGTGCATCTGAAGTGCCTCAGTACATCTGAAGTGTCTCAGATAAAGGAAATAATCCATTATTTATCAGCTTTAATATGCCGGCCACATTTTCTTATTGGGCCGATAACGATAACATTAAAAATGAAAATATATCAGCCGATACTGGTATGGTGGCCGATATATCGTGCATCCCTAACTTTTTGGCCAAATGTGGAAGATAGCTTTCACATCTGGATATGGCATGGCTAAGGCTAAGCACACATTTGGCCAACTTTTCACATATGTTTTGCTATGCTTAAGAATTGGAGGGAGTTTTCTTTTGGATCACCATTTGAATTTAGGCATATAGCCCAGATGACAGTACACAACTGAGGATCAAAAGTGGCTTGGCTTAACTTATGGTTAACATAATGGTTCATACTTGGAAAAAACATATAACCTGCTAAAGTCATGTACATTTTGAGGATTATTGCAGTCCATACCTTAACCTATTCAACAACGCTATTGGTTGCTTTGCATCTTACATTGAAGTCCTATTGGTGGATTACAAATGTGACAGCTATATAAAAAAAAGTTATTTCCGTTATTTCCTTTTGCTCTCTCTTCACATCAACAGCCTTTGCCCAAAACAATCTCTTATTAGCTTCAGGTAAGTGCTGTTTTTGGTGTTTTAAACGTTTTTTTTTTTTGTTATTAATATTAGGCCTAAGTAGATATTATTAAGTATAATGTCTAAAAATAGCCAGTTACTAGCCTTAGTTTTGAATAGGAAAGCAATTTATTTTATGTTTTCTTCATTAAAAATGGCTGCACAGCAGCACTCATGCTACTATAGTTGCGTCCCAATTCATATACTTATTTTAAGACATTTTTACACCAAAAATACTATAAAATTCATGCACTACATGGATGAGTACACTGTGCATACATAAAGTGCAGAGGGTAGTGCGTCATTTGGGACACAACTTATGTCTATGGTGTTAGAAACACAGAATGTGTGTTGTGTTGTTTTACAATGATTAGAAATAGGCCTATGCTATGTGCTTGTTTTAAAATTCAAAATACTATCTGATATACAGTATGATACAAATGATATGTTATACTAATGTAATTATTTTTTACCTTCCTTTTCCTGACAGATGGTGAGTGAGAAAGATTGAGGCGACATACTAAAAGAAGCAATTATTGTAAAAGTATTCACACATTTGACACTTCCAACAATGTTTAAGATGCTATATTTAATAAAAATTAAAATGTGCAAGTCCATTTTTTGTGTTTAAGATTATTTGATTTACTGTGGGTTTTAAATAAAAAAAAAAAAGGTGTGGTAAATATGATTAAACAATGGCTTTTGGTCTGTCAGCCACATGTCTCACTGTGGGTGGAATTATGGCATAATTATAATAATTTTGGTTTAGCTAAAAAAAAAGTGCCAGATTTGGCTAGTAACACAATATAATTCATATCACAGCTTTTTATTTGGGCCAAATCTATGGCAAAGTAAATTTGCTGATGGTTAAAGTGTACTTGTTTGGTTCATCATAGGTCAAAGTATGTAGTATGGAAGGTATTACACACCTGCATACCTCCTTCAATGGTCAAGAAATTTGATCCTCATTGAATTCTGTATAAAAGTATGAGAATTTGGATCCAGCTAAAGTAAGGAAATGTTTAGATATGTCTTGCTAGCTACTTCGATGAAAGACTGTTCAAATACTCAAGCACTCATGGTAATACAAAACAGTTACTGCTTCATTGTGCAATAAACACAAACCCCAAATAAAGGCAGTCAGAGGTAGAATGCTCAGCGCGGTGCCAACATCAAAGAAGTGTCTTTTTACTCCTTTTAAGACTGTGAATAAGGTGTCCATATTTAGATTCACAGAGACATCTAAACCAAGTAAGTAAGAAGCTTCTTGCTTCACCGTTCTTATGTCGATCTTGAACTGTTTTGTTTGTGGAATTGCATTGCATCTGTGTGCATTTTCATATTTTCAATGCTCATATTATTGCTTTCAAAATATTTCAAATATCATTACTTTCAAATATCTTGCAAACATTATTATTTTCTAAAAAATAAGCTTCTGAGGCCACACTGTCATCACCTTTTTACTTGTAACAAACTGAACCGATAATGTTCTCAGCAAAAAAAAAAAAAAAATCAATGAAGTGGAATCACTCAAATCTGTCTTTGGAAAAGCCTCTGACTACTTGACAGATCTGCTAAAGATTTTAGAAAATGTCCATTTTAAGAAAGTGCACGAGTACAATTATCAATCGGATGTTTTTTAATTCATGCTTGGCATGAGAGCTCGGCAATGTCTTTGTTGGCTTCGGTAACTAGTCTGATGCAGCAGCTCCGCTGCCAAGACCTCAAGCCTTTCCAAATCGTCTTGACTTGAGAGTCAGTCAGCGCAAGCGCCTTGAGAGATGAATGGGAAATAATGCTCAATTAAGCAGCCCGGGGCACTGGTTGTATAATTTGTTAGCCATTGGCATAAAAATTGCTGTATGTCTAGTTCAGGCAACTTTTTGAAAACGACTACTGCTCAGGACTCTAATACCCAGCATGTCATGCCCTGGGTAACAGTATCGGTTAGTAAGATTTTGTTTTTGAAATAAATTAATTCTTTAATTCAGTAAGGATGTATTGATTGATCAAAAGGGACAGTAAAGACAGATATAATGCTACAAAAGATTACTATTTTTTTTTCATCAAAGAATCTTGAAATAAATGTATCACACTTTCTTCCCCCAAAAATATTAAGCAGTACAACGGTTTTCAACATTGATAACAATAAGAAATGTTTATTGAGCATCAAATCATCATATTAGAACAGGGCTGGACTGGGGATAAAATTTGGCCCTGGACAAATCCAACACATCCGGCCCATGAGTTGAACAAATTTCAAATGTGGGAATAAAAAAAATAAAAATAAAAAAAAACCTGAAGAGAGAAACATTTAAATAAATACATGCATTATTTTTACTTAACCTGTTCATTATAATTTTACTTAATGATTTCTTCATTATTTAAATTAGGTTATTATTAAATAGGCCTAAATCTGTCATGAAAATAAGTTTGTTTATTAAGGTCGTCATTTAAATGTTTATTATTCACCAACAAATTGTAGAAACATAATTCTGTTGTTAAAAAGTTTATATTAAACAATGCCTTAAGCATAAGTTAAATGTTTATAAAACTCTGTAAAATTTGAGTGTTGATTACTGACATTTGATTTATTCATTGATTATTAAATAAACTTTCACGGTTTTCCTTTCGAAATTTTCCTTTCGGTGCATTCACTCCTATAAATGTAATACAGGAATCGCAAGAAACATTTTGTTTTTCTTTTAGTTCATTCAACAATGTGTGTAAAACTAATTTAACAAATTTAATTCAAAAATGTAATTTAATCTGCAAATGACTTGACAAATAAAATAAATTAAATAAGTATAGAAGAAGAAATAGATATTGATATAAATACAGATTACCACTTTTTTTCCATGTATGTTTTGGTGTGCCACCCTAGGATTTTTACTGTCCCGATTTGGCCACCCCATTAAAAAATCCTTGGAGGCACTGAGTGTAATGAATGCGTGCATAATATTGTATGAGTTAAGATGAACATATTGCTGGTTTGGTGTTGATGTAGGGGTAGTTCTTACTGCTGGTGCTGTTGGAGTATCGAAGACAAATGAAGAGTTCAGATGCAAAAGCCACTAAATGCCATTTGAAATTTTCTTCTTTAATGATGATTTTTGTCAAACTTGTATATTTAAGTTCAATAATTTCACTTAAATAACAATTAATAGGTAATTACCATTGCCATTTAAGTGAAATCACTGAACTTAAATATACAAGCTTGATAAAAATGATCATTCTAGAAGAAAATTTCAAATGGCACTTAGAGGCTTTTGCATCTGAACTCTTCAAATAGTTCTAAGACAATCCATGCCTTCCCATACTGTTTTAAGGCTCTTCCTCTGCCTTATTCCTTTTTTTAGTGCTGTCTGGGTAAAATCATTGCTTTGCTGCTCTGTCCTCCCCATCCACTAGTTAAAGTCATAATATGCACTTTTCTCTTCTCTCCCTTGCTGCCTGTTTCCCCTTTTACATAAATCTCCACTTGACCTCCATTCCTGTCGAGGAAACTGGAGCATCTGTCAGCCTTCCCATTATTAGAGACTTTTCCCCCTTATGCGTGACGTTTAGAGCACACTCCACCCTCCGCAACGTTGGTCTGTCACACTCAATTCTATCGAACCCTGGTCCGTTTGCCTGCATATTACGCCATCGCAAACGTGCACGGCGCATGATAGAGAACAGAACGCGGGTCAATTCTGCAACTATTATGCACAGTTGAGTGGACAGCACATGTTGACTGTGCGTGTGTCACAACCCAGACCTCCTCCAGGTAGTCTCTGGTTTGGTACCCCAGAGCGCAATGGGTCCCATGATAGCATTCACATTTGCGATTTTTCATGCGAACCGTGCCCCGTTCTGAACTAAACTGCCAGTGTAAAATCCACCTTATAGTGTCATCGTTAAGTACATAGTATGTACAGTACATGGGGAACAGGACTGTAAAATAAAGTGCTACCCCAAATTGATTTGATCTATGCTTTAAACAAAGCATACATTTCCAAGAACTTGGCTTGTGTTTTAAACTAGATTTTAAAACTGTCAGTGGTGTCTCAAATCCAAGGATGACACATGACAGAATTAACAATTAGACTTTGTAAAGAGCACTAGGCTACACTCATTAATGTAACATTAACACAAGACAATGAACAGAGGACAACTGAAAGCTAAAATACACTGGAGGAAGACGATCAACCAAACACCGAACAGGTGAGAACTTATGAGAAACTATGACAACTAATGATTCAGTGTCCCAATGCGTAGTGAGCTAGGGTCCTTTCTGTGCTTACCAGTGCCCGAATTCATGTACACAATATACTGATTCACGACCTAGGAAGCTAGTGAACAGATTGAGGCGCACCTATGAACAATGAAGCTATGACTAGAAACTAAACACGATAGAGAAGCAAATTTTTTTGGGGCATTTTTTATGGGCACTCACACTGTCATTGACCCACAAAACACTAAAACAGATACAAATAACTTGGTCTCCAGAGCTTTTTAAGCAGTTCTTAAGGTGCTGCTTTATTCTTCAACTGCCTCAAGAGTTTTATACGAGTAAACAGCCTTCCTTACAGTATAGTAAGTACTGAAGACCCAGCAGTGAGTGGGCTAATCAATGCGATACACTGCTGACATGTCCTCAGATGTGCTTACAGTAAATACTGTATACTACTCGCCTGTTATTCACAGCAAACTTGCAAGCATTGTAGAACGGTCTCAGGAGGAGTCTGGGCCTTCTCAAAGACCAGCCACACTCCATGAATTCATTTACACACATAAAGGGCTTGCCAGAATATACAAATCATATCATTGAAATCTGCTGTGGAGTATATGTGTGTAATATATGTCATATAAGCCATGTGAATATGATAAATTGTGACAAAATGTGACAACATCTTTGTGCTAAAGACATGGGGGTGGAGAGATTGACATGATGCAGACATGCTGAAATCAGTCCAACTGACAAAAGCCAAATGCACAATGTAATGTTATGACTAATTGGTAAGTGTTTTCGCTTGTTAGCGTGTTGGTGTGAAGACCAAACTGGGTAATTCATGTGTGCTTCTATCATCTTGGCAGTAAACTGTAATGACTAATTTGTGAGTGTGTTTGCAGATTGGACCACAGTGCGTTGTGAATAATAAAAAAATGTGTTTGATCAAACCAGCTGGGTTTACAAATACGATTATGACCATATGTAGAATGGAGTAGCCTATTAATCTGTGTGTTTCTCTAAAAATGTACATCACTGTCCCCCGTGTGTATTAACCAGTGCTTTGTCTTGTTGTGTTTAGCTCATTCAAGTTAAGTCTGTCATATATAGGCTACATACAATTATAATGAGAACATTGTAATTGTGTGCTTGGTACATGACTTTTATTGGTGAGACAAAACAATTTTTTTTTTTAATATTTATCGGCCAATATATCGGTTATCGGCTAAAATATAAAGAATTATTTTATCGGCCAAAATTTTCATATCGGTGCATCCCTAATAGTAAGTGAAAACATTTGGTCTTCTTGCCACTCATGTCACTTGTGAGTTGGGGGTGGGGTGAGGTGGATGGGGTGAGGTGGGGTATGGGGTGGGGTATGGGTGGGGTATGAGGTGGGGTA